TGGTTATCCCTAGTTCACTACCATTTAGGATGTAAATTGCTTGTGCATTCTTAACCCCAAAGTGCATAACTTTGCATTTCTCTACGTTAAATTTAATCTGCCATTTTAGTGACTAGTCCCCCAATCTATCCAAATCCCTCTGCAGCAAAGCAATATCCTGCTCACATTTTATTACTTTACAAAGTTTTTTGTCATCTGCAAACACTGATACATGGCTTTGAATGCCTATTTCAAGATCATGTATAAATATGTTAAATAGATTGGCCCAAAACAGAACCCTGAGGTACACCACTTACCACCAAGAACAAGAATATTCATCTAGACCATTTCTTTTAGTTTGAAGACTAACCTATTGTGAGGAACCATATCAAATGCCTTGGCAAAATCCAAGTAGATCACATCCACTGCACCCTGATCTATACTTCTACTTACTTCTTCGTAGAATGCAATTAGGTTATGTCAAACTAACCTGATTGCATTCTACAAAGAAGTAGAACTATAGTTTAGGGTGTTGCCGTGAATGTGATCTACTTTTGCCAAGGTATTTGATACAGTTCCTCACAATAGGTTAGTCTTCAAACTAAAAGAAATTGGTGTAGATGAATATTCGTGTTCTTGGGTAGAATATTGGCTTAAGGATAGAGTACAACGAGTTGTCATTAATGGTAATTTTTCAAGCTGGACAAAAGTGGTACGTGGTGTCCCTCAGGGTTCTGTTTTGGGGCCGCTTCTATTTAAAGGACCACTATAGTGCCAGGAAATAAACTCATTTTCCTTTCACTATTTAATCCTTAGGTCCCCACCTTCAAGGCCCACACCTTGAATATGCTGTGCAATTTGTGCACCTGTTCTAAAGAAGGATATCATGGCACTAATAAAAGTACAGAGACGAGCTACAAAATTGATAAAAAAGAATGGCGCACTTTAGTTATGAAGAAAGGTTAAACATTTTTTATCTCTTTAGTTTGGAAAAATGGCACCTCAGAGGGGATATGATAACATTATACAAATATATTCGGGGCCAGTACAAACCATTATCTGGAAATCTCTTCATAAACAGGGCTATACATTGGACATGAGGTCACACATTTAGGCTGGAAGAATGGAGATTACATCTAAGGCAAAGAAAGGTTTTTTTTTTTACAGTAAGAGTAGTAGGGATATGGAAATCTCTGCATGAAGAGGTGGTTTTATCAGAGTCCATACAGATATTTGAACAGCAATTGGATAAATACTTCCAAAAACATAACATACAGGCATATAATTTCTAATTATGCTTGATCCAAGGAGATATCTGACTGCTATTTTGGAGTCAAGAAGGAATTTTTTCCTACTTTGTTGCAAAATTGGAAGTGCTTCAGACTGTGTTTTTTGCCTTTTTAGTTTGGATCAACAGCAAAAACAAATGTGAGGAAGGCTGAACTTGATGGACGCAAGTCTCTTTTCAGCTATGTAACTATATGTTTGACTTCTTACCCGGGTTCGCCAGACACCACTACACTTCCCATGCTGCAATTGGAAGTGTGAGTTTGGCAATCTCCTACTGTTAGCTCTCCTGAGCTAAGCACTGCATTTAACCAGCTCAGACAGAGAGCTTCTGGGTCAGACGGAGAGCATAGCTCAGACAGAGAGCTTCTGGGTCAGACAGAGAGCATAGCTCAGGCAGAGCTTCTGGGTCAGACCGAGAGCATAGCTCAGACAGAGCTTCTGGGTCAGACCGAGAGCATAGCTCAGACAGAGCTTCTGGGTCAGACGGAGAGCATAGCTCAGACAGAGCTTCTGGGTCAGACGGAGAGCATAGCTCAGACAGAGCTTCTGGGTCAGACCGAGAGCATAACTCAGACAGAGCTTCTGGGTCAGACAGAGAGCATAACTCAGACAGAGCTTCTGGGTCAGACAGAGAGCATAGCTCAGACAGAGCTTCTGGGTCAGAGAGCATAGCTCTGACAGAGCTTCTGGGTCAGACCGAGAGCATAACTCAGACAGAGCTTCTGGGTCAGACAGAGAGCATAGCTCAGACAGAGCTTCTGGGTCAGACAGAGAGCATAGCTCAGACAGAGCTTCTGGGTCAGACAGAGAGCATAGCTCAGACAGAGCTTCTGGGTCAGACGGAGAGCATAGCTCAGACAGAGCTTCTGGGTCAGACGGAGAGCATAGCTCAGACAGAGCTTCTGGGTCAGAGAGGTGAGCAAACAGTTTGGTTTCTTGCATTGGAGAAGGGGGGGGGGGAGGAGAGCAGGACACTCCTGGCACCATAACTACAACAGCATTCTGTAGTGGTTATAGTGCTTGTATGTTCCTATAAGCAAAGAACCTTCACGAAGACTGACTCCTTCAAACGGAAATGTCTTTCTCTGTGTGGTGTTTGGGATGTTTCAGGGTAGATGCCTTGAAAGTTCTGTGAACCTTAACTCCCATGATTCCCAGCCAGCCTACAAAAGATGCCATGTTCTCTGTTTAGTGAATAACCCTGTGGTCAGAAGGAGAAACACGGGTAATGATTTTATTTTGCCATCATGTGAGCTGTCTGGCAGTCAGTACACACAGAGTACATGGAGGGCTCCCACTCACAGCCTATTGCAGGCAGTGTGCTCGGCGCTTCCCGACACCTTAACTGGGAGACAGCCACACACGTCACGTGACCAGGCTCGTCTGCCCTCTGCTCCCCCTTATCCTCGCCCAGCCCGCCCCCCCCGGTGACGTCAGTGCTTCCTGCGCCCCGGAGCCCCGCAGACAGAGCCGACAGACGGCAGGAGGGAGGCGGCCCGTGTGCAGCGGTGACGTCACGGGCCGTGGCTGTGGAGGCAGGAGGAGGAGGAGGAGGACTGGAAGCTGGTTGACACCGAGCCAGATCAGCATCGGGACCGGAGCAAGAGCTGCCTTACTACAGCCGCAAAGGTAAACACGGTGTGCGCCTCCTCGCCCCGCCTGCCAGCCGCCGGACCCGGGGGCACTGAGCCACTGCTGGGCTGGGGGCAGGATCCCCGGGGGTCTGGAGGGCACAGACTGGGAGCTGGCATGCCAGGCTGGCTTGGAGTTGGCATTGCTCCCCGGGCATGGAGGGTACACTAGGGGCCATCCAACAGCCACCTGCAATGCACACATTCACCTACCAGGGGCGGCAGTGGGCATGGGGGGAGAGTGGGCACGGGGGGTGTGCGTGGGCACTGACTATGGTGCCAGGAAATGTGAGTTCCGCAATGGTGGCAAGCAGGGTGGGTACCCAGAGGGCACCTGTGGCATTGCTCAGGGAGAGGGCACTGACCTCTGTAGGAGAGAATGGGCATTTATTATGCTAGTGCCCCCTGGATGGGCACGGGGCTGGTGGTATGCAATGTTTTGTGGAAATAATCCAGTGGGATGGTGGGACAGACTTGGCATGAAAATAAATTATACTACAGATAACAGACTCTGGCAACACGGAAATTAACTGGCATTTTGGGTGGTTCTGCATGTCACTGAGAAAATAAATGGCACCAGCTGTTTTATTAGTTATTGGATGGGCATGCATTGTTGTGGTTGGCATGAGCCATAGAATAGGTGAACTGACATCAACTGATTTAAGGCTGTGCTGCTTGTGCACATTGAATGGTTAAGGGCATATGTGTGCCTTTTGTGAGGCACATAACATTAGATTTTAAAATGCCAGTTATTGATTTCCACTGCTGAAATTAAATGCCTATTAAAATGGGGATTCCCTTGTCCCATTGTTCCCTCTGTGCCTTAATAATGACATTATGCTGCAAGCATATCCAGGTCTGCCCTAACAATAGTTATTGTTTTATTCTTTATCCTATTTAGCACCAAGTGTATTTTTTTTTTTTTTTTGTCATCCTGACCTGATCGTTTTACTTCCTATTAGAAATACGGATAATATTAATAAGAAAAGCTTTCAACTTGAAATTTAGCATTTGAGTGAATAGTTGTCTATTTATATTTTTGCATATAATCACTTTATGTGGCTTTATTTTACACATGTGTCAGACTCTGAACAGAACATTACATTTAAGATGTAACGTTTAACAGCGTGGCTGAATAATACACTCTATTAAGTGAGTTTACATTTATTTATTTTTTTATCTTAGACACAGTTCGAAGCTTAAGCCTCCCTAATGTGTGAGGTGCATGCTTAATGCTCATATTCATGTCAAACATCCTTATCACTTCTAATGAAAAAGTGAATTATTATATTCCCATTTATTTGATCTGATTCCAGTTTTGCAGGGCAGAAGCAGAACTAACCAGATCTTGATTATTCCTGCCCATTCTATTCGGAACCCATTGTGGGAATGTAATTTAGTTTAGGAATCCACATGGTTAAAAGCCTTGAGGCTAACCCAGTCCTGGGTGATGTTTACAGTTGCACTGTCAGGCAGGGATACAAGAAGCTTCTGGGGTCAAGCCATCAGCATCTCCAACTGAGTTATCAGCCGCCTGCTGGACTGCAGAGAACTGTTAGCAGTCTACAAAAGGATTATCACATGACATTATTAAGGCAGATTTCCGCTCCTTTTTTTTTTTTTTTTTTTTTTGACCCCCCTCCCACCATTGGGTTTTTCCTTGTATTTACTGTACATGTGTTTTAAGCTCTCTGTCACGTTCACATACTCTTATTAAAAGGATGTTGTATCTTAGTGATCGATTATGCAGTACACACCGTGATGCAGAGCATGGGTTAGATAGAAGAAACGGAGGCTTGGCATTCGACTTTGATATTGTCGGATAAATCAAGGGTTAACTCAAAGGAGAAATGTTATGACCTTCTGTTACAACCGATGTATTAAGACCTTTTTCACCGCTGAATTGTTTAATGCATACAATTTGGAAGATGGAAATAGCAGTTTAATTTTTTTTTTTTTTTCATTGAAACATTTGTCTAGTTATATCTGTGCAATCGAATCTTGAAAAGATTTTAAGGTTTATGTTTTAATAATTTGACCTTGAAAATATTAAGGAATGTGATCAATATATTCTTTGTTTCTTTCTTTGCTTTCTTTTGCAGATAAATAAATGGCAGACTGAAACGTAACATACCACCAGAAGCCGCGTGCTGTTATATCCGTGGATATGCTTTTACATGTAACTCATGTTAACTGGCTCTTCGAAAACACATTTGCTGCATGCACTGTCGCCATTTAAACCTCATGTTACCCACTGGATTACATGCTCCTGTTTTTTATACATATATTTATATATTTTACGTGGATGCAAGTTTGTAAGCAACATTGTGACCAAAAAAATATACATTTTATCAAAACCATTTGAGATCATAATATAATTAACTGTAAATGGGCACTTTGTAATACACGTTGCACGCCTTCACTTCATATACATTTCAGATATTTTTTTCTCTTTTACAAGAGGCTTATATGCAAACTGAAATTTTGGAAACCGGATACAAACATGATGTGGTGATGCAATCCTGTGCATATTACTAGAAATTAATTATTTCTACTTTAATGGCATAATGATAACTCTTAGAAGTTGAAGGTTGAGCAAACCCTTTGTTGTGGCTTTTTGTTTTTTTGCGGAGAGTGAAAAAATGGGGGAAGATGGGAGTCCCCCGCTGAAAAAGGTCGCTAAAGAAATGGATCTCACTGTTGATGTTTCAAATGTTGTAAGCAAGGTGATAACAATAAAAATGGAGGTAGACGATTATAAAGATACGTGTGGAGAGGAGAACACGGACAGTGTTAAATCTAGTGGTGTTCCAGCCTGCACATCTTCTGAGCTAAACCCAGGACTCAAGCACACGTTGGCGCAGTTTAACCTAAGCAGTCGAAGTTCGTTAGGTGGGCCTGCTGCTTTTTCTGCCCGATTTTCCCTAGAAAATATGTCCCCTACAGTGTTCTTGCCACTTCCTTCTCCTCAACTTCACCCTGGGCCCCTTCTTATCCCATCAGACAGTTCGACAGAGCTGACACAGACTGAACTAGAGGGTGAATCAATATCTTGTTTTATGGTGGGAGGAGAAAAAAGACTTTGCCTTCCTCAAGTCTTAAATTCAGTTCTTCGGGACTTCTCGCTTCAGCAGATTAACATCGTTTGTGATGAAATGTACATTTATTGTTCGAGGTGCACTTCAGACCAGCTTCACATACTAAAGGTTTTGGGAATCCTTCCATTTAATGCTCCCTCCTGTGGACTCATCACCTTGACTGATGCTCAAAGACTATGCAATGCTCTTTTGCGGCCACACACTTTCCCACAAAATGGTAGCTTGCTGCCTGCTAAAAACTCTTTGGCGCAATTAAAGGAGACAGGTAGTGCCTTTGAAGTTGAACATGATTGTTTAGGAAAGTGCCAGGGTTTATTTGCACCTCACCTCTACACTCAACCAGATGCCCCCTGTATTCAGTGTTTGGAGTGCTATGCGATGTTCTCCACACAGACATTTGTCATGCACTCTCATAGATCCCCAGACAAGAGAACCTGTCACTGGGGCTTTGACTCTGCCAAGTGGCATTGCTATATTCACCTGAGTTCAAAGCAGTTGGAATCACCTGATGGGAAAAAGCTCAAGGTTCTATTGAAGGAAATGAAAGAGAAATTCAGTAGAAAGAATCAGCCTAAGAGGATACAGCCAAAAGTAAGTCTTTTTTTTATTTTTGTGCCAGATTTGGTAGTAACAATTTCAATCCGAATTGATATACTTGAGCCATAATTGGTGATGTACAATACTAATGTTCCATTGTAACTAATGCTGCTGAAAGCAGGCTTTTTTTATTTTTGTTTTGCTTGCCATTCTGGTATATTGAGTGAGATTATTAAAAATCAGAAATTAGACCGTTTTAGGGTTATTTACTAAAGTGAGTTAAAAGTGTAAATTAAATGTAAACTTAAAATTTAAGGACAACTGGAAATATTCTCCAAGTCAGCTATGAATTCAGTTCACCCATTTTGGCCTTTAAATGTGAAATTTACTTTAAATTTCTGTCTCACTTTAGTAAATAACCCTAAAGTAACATTAGCTAGACTAAGCAGTTTAGGTATATACATCCATACCCTTGCAGTCTCACTGCTCTATTTCTGCCATTTATGCAGCCCTAGCCACACCTCCCCAAGCTGTGACTAACACAGCCTCTTGAACAGACTGGTTTCATTTTCAATCAGATCTTGTTTACTTTAGAAGTTCTTATTGCCTGCTCTTTTAACTGAACGTTAATCCCACTAGAGGCTTCTTCATGCCCTAGCAGGCTATTCACAAAACAGGAGATGAGAAAATCTCAATGAAACACACTGCAATAAAGGAAGTTTAAAAACTAGATCTTTCTTTATAGGAAATGTGTATGGAGGCTGTGTCGCAGATAGGGGAGGCTTGGCTAGGGCTGCATAAACAAAGTGATTTTACTCTTTGCAGAGAACTGAGCAGTGAGACTAGAGGGGCATTATCAAACACCAAAATCACTGCAATAAGCTAAATTGTTTTGGTCTTTAGAATGCCCCTTCAATGTAATAACAAGGTCAGTACAGGGTGATATACAGGAACACGAGATGTCTGCAGTTTTATAATTCATATAATGCTATATGATATTATTGTTGTAAAAATGATTATCCTTTGTCTAATGTCAGCACTTGTCAAAAAAAAAAATTGTTTGTGGAAAGCCTATACAAATTTATAGAGCTGTTAATCCTTTATATCATTTTTATTTATTTTTTTCATGTCAGTTTATAAGAAAAGATTTTTTTAGCTTTCTTCTTTTCGATGAACTGATGCAATGCATGAGCCCATTTATTCAGAATGCCTGGATAGGTGCACATGTGCATGAATAAGAAGGGTAACGATTGCTCTGTTACGCTTTGAACCAATGCAGCATCCTACCTGTCACCCTATCAGTCTTTGAGACATCTGCTTATTGTATGCTACAGTTGGATTAGGACTGTGTGTCACTGTCACATAGCTTGAGAAAATCATGAAATCCTGTGCCTCAGCCCCAAGCAAAAGGAATTTAAAAGCTTATATTTCACTGGAGAGATTGCCATGCTTATTAATCTGTGGCAGCCAGATGTTGTGGGTCATGTGTTCTTTATTTTAGAATATAGTGTTTACATTTTAATCTAATGAAGACATACTTGAATGGGGGAACAGAACAAAGGAATTGGGGTTCTCAGGGATGGAATATTCCAAAGATTTTCCTCTGTAGTTTTTCAGCATCCTTTCAGAGGCTTATCTATTCTCCAACTCCAGTTATTGTTACCGCTTCCATCCCTTCTCCTCTTCTGTCTCCCAATGCAGTCAGACCTGCTCTGTTTCATATAGCCATGTTTTAACCTTACTTTACTCCTCTCTGTTGCCATTGCAACCCAACCTATTCCACATCTCATATCTCTTTACACATCCCTCATCACTGTTTTTCCTCTATATCTTTTTTTTATTCTTTTCTGTCTTTAAAGTTATTTTCATCCTCTCTACGTTCCTGTACCTTTTTTAGTTTTTTTTTTAATATATATTTTTTTGTGTGTGTGGTTTATTCACTAAACTGGGAAATGTATGACACGAATTGTCATAGTGTACATTTTGGGTCAAGCTTGAAATATACCTGAGCTAAACCGTTTTTCCAGCTCTGGTTTTGTGACTAAACGTGTTTTATTTATTTTTTTGTTGTTTTTTTTTTTTCTGTTTGCATTTTCTGTTTGACCTATTGTCTAATATCTTGTCTCTTCAACATATTCCCAGCAGCTCTTCCCTGCAACATTCATTTGTGTTCTCCTGATGTCTCTCCTTCTGCTTTTTGGCTTTTGGCTCTCAGCCCATCTGTAAAAGTGCTATTACCCTGCCCCCTCCACTTTTCTATCTAAACCTATCTCAGTTGAAATCTGGGGCTTCCATCAATTTGAATGGCTGTATCATTTTAGTCCAGTGTTATTAATACAATTTAAACAATTTATTCTCGTTGTGTAAAATAAAAAGATGGATGAGCGCATATAAAACTCAGGCTATTTTGGTTGCCTTAGTGTAATATGGATATGTTCAAATTATCATATTTTCTTTTTTCCTCTGAGATGTTTTTAATGCAGCTTTTGAAATTTATGTAATTGGCTTTTAAGGCTTGGGTAAGCACCCATATTTGAGTCCCCATGCTATTTCAGTGGGTACCAAGCCCAGAGGTTGGATGTTGTGCCTCATATTTCAATCTACACGAGTCAATTGGCCACAGTACATTGTTAACTGTAGCAGCATTGTCTTTCCCGGTCCAGTAGAGCCCTCTGGCTTCATATAGAGTCTAATTAAGGTATTCTGCTAAATGTATTTAATGTTAATTATATTACAGTGAAGAATGACTGGCTGAGTTAATTTTACCTTGAAAAATGGATCTCTTGGCTAATGCGGTGTAAGTGATTTGGGTCTCTCTCCACAAAGATTAAGAACCGTTGATCTATATCATGCGTGTTATGGAGCTAGGCTGACTCCTTTGGATATTGTGTGTATTTGTTCCCAGTTAAAAAATTTTTGGTACTGTCTCTGCTTTACAGCTGAGGTTCCTGGTAGCTGAGGGTCATCCCTGGTAGTCTAGTGGAGGGATTGTGGCTTGAGCTGGGTCCATGCAGGCATACGTTTTGTGCTGCATTTAATATTGAATGCCTGGATATAAGATTTTATCCCAGTGTCCTATAAGCTTTGGTTTCACATTTAACAATGCAGCAATGGATACAGGTCTGTGCCAGGAGCTGCATGCATCTCTAAAATGCTTGGAATACTTAGAGAAGACACTTGGTAGAACAGATCTCTTCTCTACCACTGGACCTTAACATCCATGCTAGTTGGTAAAGATTTTTTTTCCCCTTTAATTAAACATTTAATTGCTTTAACTCTAGTTCATATAGTTTCCCCAGATTGTAGTTTTACTCAATGGGTTATTTATTTTCATGGGGAAGAAACAACATTCATTGTTTAAAAAAGCTGGTCCACTATCCCCGTCACCCTGGGGAACTCTACCCTAAACACGACTGCTCCACCCGCCCCAAATATCAAGGTGGGGGAAACAGGGAAAAGGAAGTCACATACTAACCCCACAACTGGGTTCCTAGTATCCACAGGCAACCCTGGACAGACACCCACCATTTGAACATTGTCTGCTGCTGCCCTGATTTTGTGTACATGTACAACTATGCTATGAAAAGAATCGTGTAAATGTCATGGATACCGTGCACCAACCCCCCCCCCCCTCCCCTTTTTTTTCCCCAGTAATAATTACCACATATATAATTGAAAAAAAAAAAAAAAGCTGGTCCACAGCATTTAGAGTAATAAACATAAAATGTCTACAAGGAGAAATGGTCCACATGTTACAGGTATCTACCCCTTAGGCTATTACATACAATGCACATTTACTAAAATACTTCTTAATAATATAAAATAAAAACTTGATACAAATTAAATCAATTTCTGAAAAAGTGCTTTTATCCTCAATATTCCCCTTAAGAGTCCTCATTCACCTATTCCACTGTGTATATTTATTTACACCATTTTACATGCTCTGGAAAGTCCTTTTTGGGTTGAGGTTGGGTTTGGGTTGTTTGTCTATCTTTCGTATTGATTTGTCAAAATATAGAGATTTTGGTTTAGTATAACTAAAAGAAACTTTTTTTTTTTTTTTTTACGTTTCAAATAAATGAAATTCATATAGGGTTTGCGGAGAACCACATTTTCCTTGTGTATGTTCATGGTATATTACTCTGTAAAGTCTCAAACTGTAATAATTGACTGTGCTCTGTAAGTGGTTTAACACGTTGGTGATTGATGACTTTGAACAAAATCCATTGTGTAATTATTTTGAAAAGTCTTTGATAACTAGCCTATACATATTTGTATACCACATACATTGAGCCTTGTGCAGTGCAGTGCAAATACCCGCTCCTGTTCATTTTGTTATTTTTTATTTTTTATTTTTTTTATTCTATTTGAGGGTGCCTATAATTTTCAAAGCAATGAAGATGGATTTTATAGTCATTCTTGTCTTCAGCATTCACAATTCTTAGGAATATGGAGAAATACATGGAATAGTATTGTGGTGTGTTTATTAAAATAACCTATGCGTAAAAAATGTCTTGTCCTTATTCCAGTGAGAGCAGCCATCTTGTCTTCTTTACAAGAAATTATGCAGGAGCATAGCTGCTAAACATTTAAATAAGGTGATAGCTGCCAGGCTTTGTTTATATATTTCAAACTAGCTCACACTTTTATACAAAGTGCAAAAAAAAAAAGTAACATTGTTGGGTTTTATGGAGTACCTGTTTTGCATCTATACTGTCTCCTTGGTTCTGTCACCTCTTGGAGGAAAGAGAGGACGTGAATATTTTAAGGCTTCTAGTGCTCCGCAAACCTACACATTTAGCCACCATCTCATGTGAAATCTGGCCCAGTTACTTTGTGTAACAAATTCATTACTTGTAGTATTCTTCCCATTATCCACTCATTCATTATACATTGTACAATGCACTAGCACTGCATTTCTTTATATGGTTGAGGCTTATTAACGTTTTCCTATTTCCTGCTTGGAGGGAGCAGAGGTATGGCATGCAGGGGGATTGAGTAGACAAAGCTGGTATGTGGGTGTGTGTGTGTGTGTTGATTGCTATTGCTAAGAGCCATTTAAATACTCTGTGCTATATAGTTCTCATGCGGGTGCTCTATCTGTTGTTGGCATCGCTGTGTGTAACCTAGAAGCAGAATTCCATTGTAAAAGACTTTTTTGTTTATATTTATTTATTTTTGCCCAATATGACACTGAGTATTCCTATGAGTAAGTACTGCTGCTAAGTCTGAAATACGTGAGGTTTCTTTTTTGGCTACAATGTGTAATGCATTGTACGTGCTAATAAAGCTTGCATTGCTTCTCCAGACCATGCTGACGTGAGCATTTTTTTTTTTTTTTTAATTAGTGAATCTTTTCATTGTACTGGTGGAGTATGATAAGCAGCTTTTACTTTACATATTATTACCAACATGACCTTATGAGTCTGTTTGCCAATATGCCACTGAGCTCAGTTCAGAGAATATATTAAAGTCCCTAACATTTAAAGTGCAACTGTCATGACTTTCACCAATACACTGTGTATTTTTTGACTATATAGATATTTGAATGTGATCTTGTCGCTCTCACAAATTGAAGGTGGCCCTCACTGCTGTACCTCTTTGACTCCGTTCATTCATTTAACCTGTGACACAAGAGGAAAGGGACACTCCAGACCCCTAACACACTTTAGTTAGTTTAAAAAAACTTTGTGTGAAGAGTGTGTCCTTTTTATTCATTTTGCTAAATGTGTCAATTTCTGACACTTTTTTTTTTTTATGAGTTAACCTGCTAACACTCCCCCTGACTTTCAAGCAGACAACCTGTCCTGTTACTTCCTAGTTTGGTTAGCTCAATGGACCTAAACTCTGAAGGGGGCAATTACTCAGAGCACTTGCCTAGCAAAGACTTCTCATTGGGCTGCATTGGGAAGTCTGTGATTGGACAGCCACAGAAAGCCTGGGCGGGGTTAGAAGGGGACGGCTTGCAGAGGCAGCAGGCGAGAACTGCAGGTTTTCTAAGAGCTTTTTAGACATATCCATTATGAAAAGATGCAAAATTAAAAGCATGTTGTCATTTGGAGCATATCTACTAAACCGTGATTTTTATTTGTAGTGTGGCAGTGAAGTGTCCCTTTAAGTAAATAAACTAAACACTATACACAACTGAAAGAGCATGGCAGTGAACGGAATCATGGTTTGCTTCACTGATTCTGTAAATAAAAAAATAAAAAAACAAAAAACAAAAACAAGCAAACCTTACAGCCTCTGAGCCACAGGGAAGCCAGGTGGCTACACTGCTGCAGTGCTGAATTGGAAGCGTAAAACGGATACTCTGGTCTTTATGCGTGTTTTTTTTTTTTTTTTTTTAATTTATTTTGTATTTGCATGCATCGCTACTCGTTTTCTTTATTGACTAGAATGTGCTGAAATCAAAGACTAGGTTACTTACCTGTGCAGGATTCACCAGGAGTGAAACCATAGTAGGATCAAGGTGCACTGCTTGCTGCTGTCTGAACAACATGAAATATGTTCAAAAGTGAGCATCTTTCTTCACGGCTGTCAACATGAATTTATCCCATTTATGATTTCTGTGCTCAAATTTCCAATATTTACAATAAACCGTGCTAAATTAACATTAAGTGAAAAGCAAAGATTGTTTTCAGACCTCTAAATGTCAATGAAGAATGCTACTAAAGGGTTTCTCCAAACTACTTTTTTTTTTAAACCTGTGAATAATGCCCTTTTGGCATTATTTACCAGGATGCCCCACTCCGGAACGCTTGAAAAGCATTCTAAATGAAGGTTTTGAAATTAAGCATATTTTGGGGGGAAAGATACAGGTGGATGACATCAGTAATTCTCCAGTTTGTTTAAAAATAACTGGCTGAGAGAACTTAGCCAGTTCTTTTGTTGATGTGAATGTCACTAAATGAATATAATAACTGGGTAATGTGCTTAAAACAACTGTATTCAGGAGTAGTATATTAGTCTTGTAGTTTTCATTTATCTATTCCAGGGTTCTCAACTGATTTCTAACAGAAATGTTTGTCTGTATATCTATCTGCTTATTTATATACACACCTCCTTCAAATAATAGACCAACCAGAGAGAGTACTATTTATATAGTGCCCGCAAGTTCTGTAGCGCTGTACAATGGGGGAGAGATGAGGATAAGCATGCGCAACGAGCACTGCACGTTCATTAGTCCTTCTCCATAGGAAAGCATTGACTCAATTGTTACCTATGTTTTTTTTTTAACATGATGGACGTCCTCGTGCATAGGGTGAGGACACCCAGCATGATTTCAGAGTCAAACCCCATGAAACTGCATGAAAGTGCCTTTAGTGGCTGTCTGGAAGACAAAACTGCAATGTTTTAAATAACAGGCGTAAAGGACCACTATAGGCACCCCTAGTTTAAACCCTGCAGCTGAAAACCTTACAGTAGGGTATATCCAGCCTCTAGTGGCTGTCTCCCTGACAGCCACTAGAGGCACTTCCGCGATTTACACTGAGTAAATCGCACTTATCTGACGTTGGACGTCCTCACAGAGTCCAGCGTCAAATAGCAACTCCATAGGAAAGCATTAAGTAATATGCACCCAGACCACAGTCCATGAGATGAAGTGATCTGGATGTCTGTAGTGTCCCTTTCTCTGTTTCCCTTATTCTGCTTTACTCTCTTCCATTGTCTTATTTCTATTTTATCTGTTTGTCAGTCCTTTCCAAACTACTCTTAAGTCACACTCTCAGCTCCCCAACCCTTTTACATGACCCTCAGCTCTTTCATTTCTGTCTCCTATATGAATTTCTACTGTGTTTTCTTATCTCTCCCTTATCTAGTACTTCTTCTACCCAGGTATGGCTGTTTCTCAGCCCTTTTCCCCTTGTTTATTTCTAATTTAAAATAGCAGTCTATGAATGTTAAATCACTTTAAAAAAACAAACAAACCAATTTTTATATGATTCTGCTCTCTTACTTGTTTTTGAGATATGGGGGTTCACCCCTGGCAGTGTAGTGGCAGAAACAAGAGAACTGTTGATCACTCAATTAATTATTTCTCTCCCTGCTCCTTCGCGTCCTGCTGTGTGGGGACTTTAAGATTGATAGTACTGGGATATGACAACCCTCATATCCCTGCGGTAGTAATCCAAAGTCACTCAAGGGAGGGTGGAAGTGCAGAGAGAGAAAGAACTGAAGGGGCTAATGCTCAATTTTCACATTCATGTGTTCATGGCATCAGGTGGCAGGAGTACTCCAGTTTTCCCTAATATCATTGCAACTATGATGTGCCAGCACAACATATGAGTATGGTGTCCCCACAGCAATAGAATCCTGTGGTCCTTATATTTGGGCCTCATGTTTGACACCCTTGATCTACTCCATAAAGTAAAACGTATGTGGTAAAATCATTCCTAAACTAAGACATTTTAGCAAATATGACACTTATGTATGTTTTAGATTTTCTATAAAAATGCCCTCAGGCAACATCTTTACTGGCATACACAATAACAAAAAAATTATAATCTGTTCTTATCATGAAATTGCCACCAGAACTATTATTTTCATACTGCTATCTTCTCATGAGAAGCTGCCACAAGCTGTGCCTATTCTATTCTAACATATGCACAATAATATAGTTTTGCCTGCACAGGAAATCCCGATAGATGCCTGAATCTAGCAGGGTCCTCCTTTGTAGATACTTAGAATTACAAATTTACATCAATGGTTGGCTCATTAGTTGATATGCTAATAATAGTCCCTACTTTAAGTATATTTTAAAATATAAATATTTTAATGCAAGCAGCTGACAGTTAAAAACAGCCAAGTGACAAGTCCAATTTAATAATGAAACACTGTTATATAAAGCCCGCTGTTGGTTATAACCTATGTACTACCCTTGCCATGTTCCTCAGTAATGAAGCAAACCTTTTTCAAACGGCTTGCCCTTTTACATCGGTACCAGTCGGGCACTGAGAGTCCTGTATGGCCAGTGACTTGAATCCATCTTCTGCAGAACTGCTAGATGAGGATCCAGTCAGCCATTAATTGGCTGACCGCGTTACCTGACTGCTCTAGGCCAATGAATGATATTCTGTTCATAGAAATGCTTGTTCTAGGCTGGTTAATGTCCCCTTCGGCAGCAAAGGGATTAATGGGTAGTCTCTGTATGCCCTGTGTTTCATAGCAAAATGCTGCATACAGGCTCCAGGCACCATGACTGCTTTGAATCACTAAAGTTGTTATGGTGCTTCTAGTAACCTTTTGAATGGTGTTTGTTTTTTTCAAACAGTGGTACTGTTGTTCAAGGTAATTTGCATATGCACGTTACGATTAAAATACTGACTATACTTGTATTTTGTGAAAAATGGACATTTAAAAAAATTACTCCAACTATTTTATTATTGTTATTGGTTTGGCAAGCCATTCTTAAATTTAATATACCCAGTGACCCATTCATCATTTATTTTTCATACCAGCATTCATGCTGTTTCAGTAGCCAACCTATTGGTATCTAGTTATTTCTAGTATGGATTACTGTAATTCTCTCCTAGTTGTTCTCTCCAGAAGCCCTACTGCCCCGCTACAATCTGTAATGAATACTGCCACCCGGCTGATATTTTGCTCCTGTCGCTCCTCTCATACCTCTCACCCCTCTGTCGATCCTTACACTGGCATCCTGTATGCTATAGGATTCAATTCAAAATCCTAACCCTTACCTATAAAGCCCTAAACAACTCTAGCCCCTGTTACATTTCCACACTGATTTGTAGATATGCCCCTTCTCGGTCTCTCCGCTCTGCCGGTGACCTTCTCCTGTCTGCTGCTCGCACCCTCACTGCTAATTCACGCTTGCAGGACTTGTCACAGGCTATTCCTTTCCTTTGGAACAGCCTGCCCACTCCCATCAGACTCTCCCCTAGTCTTCAATCTTTTAAGAAGGTCCTCAAAACCCATCTCTTTTAATGCTTATGGCCTCCCACAGTAAGTTCTATATCACAAATCTGTCTCTTGCTCTCTCCTAAAGAACCATACTCCACTGTCACCTCCAGTTCTGCTACTTCCTATTGTGTCTTGATACTGCACTCATTTAGACTGTAAACTCGTTCCTATTGTTCCCCTATCATTTTGTAATTGTCTCAGTTATTGTTAAATTTCCCTCTTTCACAATATTGTAAAGCGGTGCAGAATAAGTTGGCGCTATATAAATACCAATAATAATATTGTGGGCACTTGGCTGGTGCCTGATTAATATGTATTTATTCCATTACAAGGAGACACAAAGATTGACACAGTGACTGCATTTATTGTCCTGGCCCAGAAGTTAAGTATCATTGACTTACATAATCAGAGTATAAACAAATAAAGCCTTGTGAGTCTTACCTGTATTCACCCTTGCCGCCACCTGTCTCCAAAAATATTTATCACCATCATATATCACAATATTTTCCAAATCAGAGGGACATTCCACAACAATGTTTTCGTATTCCGTTTAACAGTAAGTACAATCTGTTACATAAAAAACATTAAAGGATAATAGCTGTCAAGTTTGATTTCTAATTCTAATATTGAAAATGTTTTCTTTTAACTTGTGTTTAGAACTCTATTTTGCTGGTAAACAGAGAGCTAAATCTTGCTATACAGATTACATCCTGCTGATTGTATAAACAGATGTCTTTGGGAGGGGTGGCCAACTCACTGACAGTGTACAGTTATCAAAGAGATGTTGATTATACTGTCTTCAGCACAAGCTATTAAAAATACAATAAAAAAAAAAAAAAAAAACTATGCAAAGTCAGAACATGAAATTAAATGTGACTTCAAAACAGCTTTAAAGCGGCACTGTCATGCCGAACTTACCTTTCCTCAATCTCTTCCTCTTCTCCCCCTCTCTCAGGATCTGTTCTTCTTTTCTTCCTGTCTTCTTTAGTTTTCTTTAAAATCATAAGACAAAGTAGGGACTCTTTGCCTTATGGAGGATTCCTCCGCTTGACCAGCTCTGACCAGCGGAGGAGCAAAGTGTGCTTCATTTCCGCTGGTCAGAGCAATGTTCCCATGATCCTTACCTTCCCTCTGTGTTCCCACAATGCTTCCTGTCACTTTACACAAAACTGCCGAATTGCGTTCTAACTGAATGAGAACAGTATGTTCGTTTCTTTTAGAACGCAATTCGGCACTTTATTCGGATCGGAATTTCATTCTAATGAATGAAACTCCGATCCTATTCATTGCCGTGGCTGCATCTTGCAGCCGCTTAGTAGATAACTCCCTAATTCCCACGGTATCAGGGAGCTATCGACTAAAAGGCTGAAAGACCTAAATTGGTCTAACAGCCAACTTTACTAATACTAAGTAAAGCTTACTTAGTATTAGTAAATAATATGCCCCTACTCGCTATACCGCGAGTAGGGGCATGTGTAGTAAACAGTGAGCAGCTTATAGCTGCTCACTGTAAAATAAAAAACTAATAACCCCCCCCCCCCCATGCCCGTGGGGGCCCTAAATAAAGATGGGGGGGACCTACTGTCCCCCCCTGGCCCCCACCCCTGAGCGGTGGGTGCCCTAAATAAAGATATGGGGGGGAACTTCTGGTCCCCACCCCTGCGTGGTGGGTGGGGGCCCTAATAAAACAATAAGGGGGGAGGATCTACTGTCCTCCCCCCCTGGCCCCCACCCCTGCGTGGTGGGTGGGGGCCCTAATAAAACAATAAGGGGGGGGCCTACTGTCCTCCCCCCCTGGCCCCCACCCCTGAGCGGTGGGTGGGGGCCCTAAATAAAGATATGGGGGGGAAATTCAAAAGGACTTTCCCACGCTGTGTAAAATGACTCAGAGCACTCTGATTGGCTTAAACCCACCAATCAGAGTGTTCTAAGCTTATTGCAGGGCGGGGAAAGGCTTTATAAGCCTTGACCCGCCCTGCGGAGCTCAGGACGCGGCGTGCCCTCGAAGGGCGAACATGGATTAATTTTTTGGGGCGCTCGTGTTTTTTTTTAAGTGCGACGGGTATGATGGATTTTTATTTGGCCTTTTTGGGGGCTGAAGAAAGAAGATTTTTAGAAAAAAGAAGACGTCAAATGGTAAGTTTAATTTTTTTTTTTTACAGGTTAGTTATTTTATTCCCCCCTCACTATTTTTAGGGTGAGGGGGGTAGGTAGGGGATAGGTTTTTTTGGGGTGGGGTGACTAGGGGCTTGGGACCCCTAGTCACCTTGATTGGGGGGGGTGTTTCATTTAGGGCCCCCACCCACCGCTCAGGGGTGGGGGCCAGTGGGGGAGGACAGTAGGTTCCCCCCCTTATTGTTTTATTAGGGCCCCCACCCACCGCTCAGGGGTGGGGGCCAGGGGGGGAGGACAGTAGGTCCCCCCCTTATTGTTTTATTAGGGCCCCCACCCACTGCGCAGGGGTGGGGACAGAAGTTCCCCCCCATATCTTTATTTAGGGCCCCCACCCACCGCTCAGGGGTGGGGGCCGGGGGGGAGGACAGTAGGTCCCCCCCTTATTGTTTTATTAGGGCCCCCACCCACCCACCCACCGCTCAGGGGTGGGGGCCAGGGGGGGAGGACAGTAGGTCCCCCCCCTTATTGTTTTATTAGGGCCCCCACCCACCGTGCAGGGGTGGGGGCCGGGGGGGGGACAGAAGTTTCCCCCCATATCTTTATTTAGGGCCACCGCTCAGGGGGGGAGGGGGGGAGGACAATAGGTCCGCCCCACCTTTTTGTAATTTATGTAATTTTTTTTCAACAGTGAGCAGCCACAGGCATTTGGGAGATTTGAATCCCCATTGTGCTATTATGGGGGTCATATTGACCCCCATAGAGTGAGAGGGGGACCTGGGGGGGCTTATTAAGTGGTGGGGAGCACTGCTCCCTGCTGCTTTTATCGTTACATATTACAAGGAGGGAGCTGCATGCCGGTAGCTCCCTCCTTGTAATAAACTGCACGAGCAAACAAACACTGATACTTTGTGTTTGTTTGTTCGGCTGATATTTCTATTCACTCATTCGTCTGTCTGATGAATGAATGAATAGATGAAATTCCCGTTCGCATGTCCAGGTGTTTCACTGGGCATGTGCGGGAATTTCACAGGCTATCTAGTGTGGGCAGGTGACGTGTCCCACAGGGACTTAATCTACCCACACAAAGATGGCGGCGCCCTGGATATAGATCGGGGCAGAAAATAAGGATTAAAAAATAGGTAATGTGGGGGGCTTAGGGGCATTTGGGGGTGACTAGTGGGTCAATTGGATGTAGTGGAGGCGGGAGGGGGGTTAAAAAAAAAACGGGATTCGACATGACATTGCCGCTTTAAAATAGAAACTTTACTTTAAATAAAACAAACAATAAAACATTGTAGTTATAAAGTGTAAATGAAATGTGGCTCATATATAGTAGTCACTGAGTTTATTTATTTATGTAACTTCCATCAAAGTTTTACCACAGGCAAAAAAGTTTTTTCAAACTTTGGAGTAATGAAGCAGTTTGGGTGTGTAGATCATGTCCATGCAGTTTTACTTGAGAAGTTTGTATCTCCTTCTTTTAAAATGACCTTTAATCAGATATAGGAGGCTCCTGCATGGTCTAGCAGGCTAACGACAGAGCAGGAGATTAAAAAAAAAAAAAATCTAAAGTAGACAGACTGTGCATTAAAGGAAGTTTAAACATCAGCTCTTTCTTTACAGGAGGTTTTTAGGAAGGCTATGTAGGTCACATGCAGGGAGGTGTGACTAGGACTGCATAAACAGAGATATTTTACTGCTAAATGGCAGATAATTGAACAGTGAGACTGTAGTGGCATGATCTATACACCAAAATTGCTTCATTAAGTTATTTTGGTGACTATAGTATTCCTTTAAACCAAAATGTTTCTGGAAATAAGGGACCGTTACTCAGGGTGGTACCAAGTAATGTACCAATTTGTATTTTTCACATCAAGAAATTTTGTTCTGTAATTTTGTTTTATAGAAATTAAGAAATAAAATGGTACACGTTCACATTTTCAGTAATTCTTTTGATCAAATAATATTTGTGCTTTCCAGACGTGTTAGTTCAGTTTGTGTTTTTATTTTTTGACATAACCAGGTACACAAGGCCGTCTGCTGGGAAGACTGTTTTGTCTCTGGTTATATCTCAGGCAAACTCATAACTTTTCTGTATAAACCCTAAACTGAGCAAAGAATATCCTCAAACATCAGAGTGTGATCCATCAAAGCGACAGTAAAGCCTCAGAGCAAATAAACCTTATATTAAAGGCAGCCTCTGACTTAGTTTTTTTTTTTTTTTTAAATAGGTCTATTGTTGCATGCTTGTAATATAACTCACCCATTTCACACACTTGGGCACACTGAAAATATGAAACTGTTGTCAAAGACAACATTTCTGCCCAGGAGGCCAGAACTTGATGGACTTTCCATTATATAGGATATATAGAAAAATGTATTTTTCAGGGGCTGGGTAAGTGTTACATTTTAACCCATTTTTGCTGATTCCTTCTAGTGTTAGCATCTACTCTTCAGTATTAAACCTTGTTAAAAAGTAAAACATCTATAATAATTTAGTAAGTAAGAGATTCTTGTTAGCTATACATTTTAAGTATCCTACTACTTATTACTCTTTATTCTACTAACTAGATTCTGTGTCTTTTACTCCCTGTAATGATTGTATGTAGTGGTTTAAAGGCACAGCAGGGTCTGGGTGCAATGTCCCTTTTCCCTTAACCCTACAATGTTAATTTTTGCAGTTTGGTCGCCTGACACTGGACGTCCTGACGATTTGCATTAGGACATCCAGTGTCAGTCAAATCCCCATAAGAAAGCATTGCTGCAAAGCAAATGCACATTAGCCACCCCCCTCCCCTTTGTCGGGTGACATTGGAGGAGGCGAAACGCCAACCCAGTGCTGAAGGAGATCAGCGCTTGAGTCAGGTAAGTACAGTAAGGTGTTTTTTTTTTTTGGGGGGAGGGGGGAGTTATCCTTGGAGTGAGTGGGAGGAGGGGAAGAGGGGCACAACTTTGTATTCCTAGTACAGTGATGGCAAACCGTTTTGAGCCCGAGTGCCCAAACCGCAATACATGCCAACTTTTTTTCCCTTAAAGTGCCAACACAGCAATTAAACCTCAATACTGAGGTTTAAGTTTAGAAAAAACAACTCGTACTGTTGTCCGAACTAATTAACAACTTTTGTTTTAAAAGAACACAACAACAGAGAGTTCACTGATACAAATTTTAAATAATAATATAAATAGATAAAATGAAGCTTATATTTATTAGTATCTCCAACACATGCAATACATACACACACAGACTGCTAAATACATACACACAGTCTGCTGAATACACATACAGACAGACTGCTGAGTACACACACAGACTGCTGAATATATACACACACAGTCCGCTGAATACACACACTGCTGAGTACACACACACACAGACTGCTTAATTCACACACATACTGCATTGAAGGGTGTAGTGTATGTGTTTGTGTGTGGGGTGCTGTGTGTGTGGGGTGCTGTGTGTGTGGGGTGCTGTGTGTGTGAGGGTGGGGGGGGTGCTGTGTGTGTGTGTGTGTGTGTGTGTGCTGTGTGTGTGTGTGTGTGTGGGGTGCTGTGTGTGTGTGTGTGTGTGGGGTGCTGTGTGTGTGTGTGTGTGTGTGGGGGGTGCTGTGTGTGTGTGTGTGGGGTGCTGTGTCTGTGTGTGAGGGGTGCTTTGTGTGGGGGGGTAGGTGCTGGGTGGGGGTAGGGGTGCTGGGTGGGGAGGTAGGGGTGCTGTGTGTGTGTGTGGGAAGTAGGGGAGGGAAACTGGGTGTGGGGGAGGGGAGGGATACTGAGGAGGGGTACTGTGTGTGTGGGGGGGTAGGGGTACTGTGTGTGGGGCTGGGGTAAAGGTGTTAAAAAAAACACAGTACCCCTCAAAAAAAACACACACACACAAAAAACACTGGTGGTCCGGTGGTGGCAAGCACGGCTTCCATGTCGGGAGGCAGGGGGAGGGATCTGTGAAGCAGCTCCCCTGTCCTCCTGTGCGATACTGTGTGGAGCGTTGCCATGGTAACAAGCGGCAACACAGCTTGCTCGCGGGAGGACAGGGGAGCTGCTTCACAGATCCCTCCCCCTGCCTCCCGACATGGAAGCAGAGTAGGCGCCTGCCGTTTTGGGCAAGCAGGTGTCTACTCTGCATTGATAGCAAACCTATGGCCGCGTGCCCACAGAAAGGGCCTGTCGTGCCATAGGTTCGCCATCACTGTCCTAGTACTATTGTGTCCCTTTACTTTTCACAGTAGTGCAGATCAGTTAATTAAAGAACACTGCAGCATGTCTTATCGTTATATTACATTATTGTCTGAAAATACGTTAAGCCACAAAGATCCCAACCTAAATAATTTTTAGGGAGCTAGGGCCAGGGATGTCACCTTGCTTAGGGAAATAAATACTGGCTGTACCAATTTGCATACTTAATTATACATGCATTACATCACACAATGTAAATCACAAGGAGTAACATACGAGTAGAAAAATACATTTGGAAAGGGAAAATGCTTTAAAGCAAATAAAATAAATAAAACCATTAACAGTTTGATTCTGTTGTGTAGAGGGATTGCTCTGCAGTTTGAGGAGATTGGACTGCTCTTCTGTGTGGTCATTCAATTAACCCAGCAATAGGCTGTCTGCGTCACAGGCAATATATACAAATACACAGGGGTTTATTCACTAAAACTAATGAATTGCAAAATGTAGTTCAAATAGCCAAGCTATGCCTATACTGAATGGGAGAATTAAATCTAATCCATTATTTCTTTCTATAATTTACAATTAATGTTTCAATTCACTACTTTTCACAGTTTAAAGAAGAAACCTAGTAGTTTTCTTCTGCTTCTGTTAGCCCGATAGAGCACGCCTGCCTTCTCCCCTTCTTAATGAGCAGTACTAGAGCTCATTGAGAAACATTGAAAAGCCACGATCTTGTGCGACTGCATCTGGCTCTTTTTTTCCAGAGCCGGCGTCTGAGTGTTTTACCACACATAGCAGGGGAGGGGGACCTCTGGACTTCCGCACTGTACGCAATGTACACTGGGAGGGGAAGCATCTCCACCGCCTGCTCTGCATAGGAGCACCAGGTGCAGTATCAGACTGATCGCGGGGTAGTCACATTGTACCCGGTGCTCCTACGCAGAGCAGGAGGGGGAGATGCTTCCCCTCCCAGTGTATAGTGCGTGCGGTTCCCTTATGGAACTGCACACAGCCTGGGGGCGCTCGTCGAGGGGGCGGCAGCAAACATCACTTGTCAGTCTCGCGCATGCTCCCAGCCTGCATCAGATTTTTGGACCCATCAGGAATCTGACCATGCTGCGTCAGCAGACCTGAAGTGGGTCTAAATTTCTGACTTGTTCCAGACTTCTGATAAAACATTTGTATTGCTGGTATTTTTGCAATACCGACCAGGCAGCCTCCAATACTGGCTGTGCAGGTAAAATACCGGCCAGCTGGCAACCCTAGAACTTGGGGGAGGATGAGTAACGCACTTCTTACTGTCTTAGTCATATGTATTTTAGTCCCGCAGACAGGATGTTGGAGGTTGCATGTTGCTGTCCCTATAAAATTCTTGCAAACACTTCCAAGGACAGCATGCCTGAGCAGTGAAATGATTGGTTCAGCATGGCAGATCTTTTTACAGTGCACATTATCGATGCGTTAATTATTTGAATATTTGCTTACGTTTTCTTGCATACTGATATTTAAATGTGGCATTAATACACATTTGCAAGGACTCAAGGTTAAGACTTCCTTCATGCACATTGTTATGTCATTGCATGTGGTGTTGGCTGCCATATATGATGCCATGTTAGAATGTTATTTGGCAGTGTCCTTCATTATGTGTGTCTACACCATAATCAAACAAATATTACAACTGTAAAGCATTCTAAAAGCTCAGCAGTATGTGTTGTATTAGCGGCATATTGTAGCTGTTAATTATTTAACCCCTTAAGGACACATGACGAAAATATTCCGTCATGATTCCCTTTTATTCCAGAAGTTGTCCTTAAGGGGTTAATGCTTAACTATGTACAGATGATTTCTGCTTGCATCTTGAAATGTGGCTTTGGTTGATTGTTAATTTTGTTTTGTGCTTTGAGAATGGCAAACAAGCCAAAACTGTCTGGTGCCATGTCATAATGTAGTTTTCTAACTAGTACTCTTTAATTCTTGGAATTTGACAAAGCACGCATGGGATGATCTATTTTCCAATGAAATTTTGTGATTATATTGTTTTGACTACATTTCATTAACAAATTTACTGCTTGCAGTGATTCTTTCACAGGACATACAGGGAGTGCAGAATTATTAGGCAAGTTGTATTTTTGAGGATTAATTTTATTATTGAACAACAACCATGTTCTCAATGAACCCAAAAAACTCATTAATATCAAAGCTGAATATTTTTGGAAGTAGTTTTTAGTTTGTTTTTAGTTTTAGCTATGTTAGGGGGATATCTGTGTGTGCAGGTGACTATTACTGTGCATAATTATTAGGCAACTTAACAAAAAACAAATATATACCCATTTCAATTATTTAGTATTACCAGTGAAACCAATATAACATCTCAACATTCACAAATATACATTTCTGACATTCAAAAACAAAACAAAAACAAATCAGTGACCAATATAGCCACCTTTCTTTGCAAGGACACTCAAAAGCCTGCCATCCATGGATTCTGTCAGTGTTTTGATCTGTTCACCATCAACATTGCGTGCAGCAGCAACCACAGCCTCCCAGACACTGTTCAGAGAGGTGTACTGTTTTCCCTCCTTGTAAATCTCACATTTGATGATGGACCACAGGTTCTCAATGGGGTTCAGATCAGGTGAACAAGGAGGCCATGTCATTAGATTTTCTTCTTTTATACCCTTTCTTGCCAGCCACGCTGTGGAGTACTTGGACGCGTGTGATGGAGCATTGTCCTGCATGAAAATCATGTTTTTCTTGAAGGATGCAGACTTCTTCCTGTACCACTGCTTGAAGAAGGTGTCTTCCAGGAACTGGCAGTAGGACTGGGAGTTGAGCTTGACTCCATCCTCAACCCGAAAAGGCCCCACAAGCTCATCTTTGATGATACCAGCCCAAACCAGTACTCCACCTCCACCTTGCTGGCGTCTGAGTCGGACTGGAGCTCTCTGCCCTTTACCAATCCAGCCACGGGCCCATCCATCTGGCCCATCAAGACTCACTCTCATTTCATCAGTCCATAAAACCTTAGAAAAATCAGTCTTGAGATATTTCTTGGCCCAGTCTTGACGTTTCAGCTTGTGTGTCTTGTTCAGTGGTGGTCGTCTTTCAGCCTTTCTTACCTTGGCCATGTCTCTGAGTATTGCACACCTTGTGCTTTTGGGCACTCCAGTGATGTTGCAGCTCTGAAATATGGCCAAACTGGTGGCAAGTGGCATCGTGGCAGCTGCACGCTTGACTTTTCTCAGTTCATGGGCAGTTATTTTGCGCCTTGGTTTTTCCACACGCTTCTTGCGACCCTGTTGACTATTTTGAATGAAACGCTTGATTGTTCGATGATCACGCTTCAGAAGCTTTGCAATTTTAAGAGTGCTGCATCCCTCTGCAAGATATCTCACTATTTTTGACTTTTCTGAGCCTGTCAAGTCCTTCTTTTGACCCATTTTGCCAAAGGAAAGGAAGTTGCCTAATAATTATGCACACCTGATATAGGGTGTTGATGTCATTAGACCACACCCCTTCTCATTACAGAGATGCACATCACCTAATATGCTTAATTGGTAGTAGGCTTTCGAGCCTATACAGCTTGGAGTAAGACAACATGCATAAAGAGGATGATGTGGTCAAAATACTCATTTGCCTAATAATTCTGCACTCCCTGTATTTATGTGGATGGTGTCCTACGTTATTTGACCATTTATGTTTTTAAATATTCTGCTTTTGTCTTCCTTTGCTTTCAAGTGAACCTATTGTCCAAAATCATGTGGCTGACTAGTTCTCATTCAAATAGTTCTAGATATAACATATCCATTACTTGCCTTAAAGGACCACTATAGTGCCAGGAAAACAAACTCGTTTTCCTGGTACTATAGGGTCTTTAGGTTTCCCCCCCCACCCTCAGGGTCCCACTCTCGCCGGGCTGAAGGGGTTAAACTCTTATCGTTCTCCAGTGCCGGGCTTCCTCGGCGCTGGGGAATTCTCCTCCTCCTCCTGCCAACGTCAGCGCCGAATGCGAATGCGTGGCAAGAGCCACGCGCGCATTCAATCAGTCCATAGGAAAGCATTTCTTAATGCTTTCCTATGGACTTCAGCGTCTTCTCACTGTTATTTTCACAGTGAGAAGCGCTGAAGCGCCTCTAGCGGCTGTCAGAGAGACTGCACCTAGAGGCTGGATTAACCCTAGTGTAAACATAGCAGTTTCTCTGAAACTGCTATGTTTACAGCTGCAGGGTTAACACTAGATGGACCTGGCACCCAGACCACTTCTTTGAGCTGAAGTGGTCTGGGTGCCTATAGTAGTCCTTTAAAGGATGTTACTCCAAGCACCATGACCACTTAATTGCTTATGGTGCCTGGATTCTTTATTACTGCATGTTTAGTTTGAAATAATGGACATACTCTCTTAGCCAGTGAATGACCAACAGGATCAGCATCTGGCTTATTCGTCTATGTAGAATTCATGTCACCAGGCTTGATGCCAGATGGACTCAAAAACATTTTTAAAAATAATCTGTGTTTAGCGGTACTTTTACTTCTAAAATTGTAGCTTGGAACCTTGCAGCGTTGGCTGAAAAGGGCACTTGCATTTATAAAATATAGGTTTGGGTTTATCAACAGTGTTTTACATGACCCTTGTTTTTGACAGGTTGAGGGGAGTATGTTTTCAGCCTAGTAAGGAATATATATATTATATAATCTGTACCATATTTTTCCGTGTATAAGACGACCCCTATTTTTGAGCCCAAAATTAATAAATCAATATTTTAAATATCAAATAGAACAACTTTGATATTTTAAAAGGTGACTTCTACGGAGAACAACATACTTCTGGTTCTCATGCCTCCCATGTGCTATGGTACTCTGTGAAGTTAATGGCTCCATAGTGCATGCTAGAAGACTACAGCTTCCACAATACAGCAGGTGGTGTGAGGATATGCTGGGACATCACAGTAGTATTTCTTCTGCTCCCTGATGCCCATTTCCTCCCCCATAAATATAAATCAGAGAGCAAGACCTACCTGTGGTGGCGCATACGTTTTAATATGGCTGCTCCTTTTATGGTGTGGCATATCTCTGTAACTCCGTTAGTGCTGATGTCTGCTGCAGCTCCCATGCATATAGAGATTTTTTCCTCTTTGCCACAGCATTCAGAAGTGGATCGGCAGGAGGGAGGCCAGGTTATGTGTGTGGGCCATGGCACACACTGAAATGCATCAGGCGCCATCTTAACTCGTGCCACGCGCACAAGTGTTTATTTTTTTTTTACCCCTGCAGTAACATTCTGTGTATAAGACGACCCCCAATTTTAGACTAAAACAAAGTAGAGAGAAACTGTCTTGTACATGGAAAAATATGGTAATTTTATTTATTTTATATGCAGTAAAATATACATTAAAGTTCCTGGAGTATAACTGGTTAGGATTCACAAAGCATGTAATTCCATATTGTTTTATTGTTATTAAAAGACATGCTGATTGAATATAATTCTTTGTATGTTTGAGATAGAGATGAGATACACACACACACACACACACACACACACTTTGTTTGCTTTGGAGGTCAGTTAAGCCAATAAATTGTATACATAAGCATTGACGTCTTGAGGTATGTGATCTTCAAGCACATGTGCTGTTTATAGCCTGGGGATAACTAGTAGTCCTTGTGTGAGACTTTGCAATGACACAGTGACATAAATAATTGTTTTCTCAGGTCTAACAAAAATAGATGGCCTTGGAGTTGTTATTCAGGCTGCTGTGTCTCTCTTCTCATGTCCCATAGTTTTCCAAGTCCTACCTGCTACATCTTAAAGAGAGAGAAACTACACAATATCCTGACTGCCAATGTCAGAGGGTTGGAGCTATGTGTCTGATAAATTACTCACTTGCATTCAGAATGTCTTTACACAGACTTCTTGTCCAAAAACACTGCATCTGAACACTCTGCATGCAAATATTCTATCCATAATATCTCTTCCCCCACCCCCCTTCTCCCCTATCAACAAATACATTACTGTGTTGTCAGAGACTGCACCTGAACAAGATCTTGGCTTTTAAACTCTGCTTCACTGTTCTACTTATCTTGTGTCACTGCAGTACGTTTTTTGTTGGCTATAAAGCTGCCCAAGTGTATTGCACTATCCCATATTGCCCAATCATACTTTACCCTAGTTTACAGTTATTAAGTCTTTAAAATTCCTTCTGTTTGGGCGCGTGTTTCCGTTTACCAATTTAAATCATTTACGTTTTCCATTCTACCCTACTCTAAACTCACACAACCTGTCCTCACATTGTCTGCTAGCCATGTCACATCTTCTTATCCTATAGTTTCTATAAACGACATATTAAAAATCAATGTAAATAATACATGTAATTATATGCAGCATGTCTCCACGTCTTGCAAACAGGCTATAGCAGGCACACATTAATACATGTGAGACAATTCTGCCAGTCCTCCTAGGGCATGGCTTTTCCAGTTTTCACAATATGTGGTTGGATTTGGTATTCGCTACACCCCTTGTAAGAAACCATAGACTGTTTTGTCCTGGATCCTACCATCATAATATTAATTCCAATAGAGAAACTCCAGGAGAATAAAAAAAAAAAAAAAAAAGGAACGATTAATTAGGTTCAGTGTGCAGACTAAATCTGCAAAGTCTAACCTTGACATTCCAGATGTTTGTCAAGTACAAGGTGAGCTGAACACCATCGCAAACACCTGCAGTTGTTATATTTATCCATCACTCACCTTGTCTGTCTTGAAAAGAGAGCTGTGCAATATAATGTGCCACACTTATTGAAAATGGATGGATAATGTATATATTTCTGGGTGCTTTTTATATGTTTATTTTTAAATAGTTTATAACCAAGATCAAATGCTTTAGTTTTATTTAAGACTCGTTTGGGAGATTTGGTGATTTAAAGCCTCGTTGATAACATAGAATCTGCATGTTGAACGTGACATTTTAAAGCAGGATTGCCACATTTCTCTTATGCTGATTCGTTTACTGCTGTGTAGATATTTAGAGTTTGAGACACCACACTGCTAATTACATTCCACAACAGACAACAAGATAATTACAAGGGTCACTACTTGTACAACTTTCAAACTGCTCCAGTGCCCCCCACCTTTGTTTCTGAGAAGGAAACGATTAGCCATGTCTTCCTTTATTGGAGACATTATGGTAAACATTAGTTGGTGTATATTATTGCTGTACACCAATAACATTGCAATGTATGTCTACAATGCAATAAATGTGTTGGTGTATGTCAGTGTAATACATTGCTTATTATAAAATCATGTTCTCCAGCTTTCTAGCTCTATGTTCTAGATTAGAATCTTTACGAACATTTGCCTTTGCATTGGAGATTAAACAAAGGAGATATATATATATAATCAGCTGTTCTATGCTCATTCGCACATACTACAATGGAAGAGGTTTCCGCTCTGCTCTGGTCCTCCCGCCCCACCACCTGTTCCCTCGATCCTATTACCTCATATCCGCACTCTGTCTCCCTCTCTTGCTCTTCCTCTCACTAAAATTTTCAATCTCACTCTTTCATCCAGCACATTACCCTTCAAGCATGCAACCATAACGCCGATTCTGAAAAAGCCCAACCTTGAGCCCAATTCCTTATCCAACTACCGCCCTATATCGCTACTGCCATTTACCTCCAAGATCCTTGAGAGTTGTGTATGTGAGATTGACAGACCTCAAATCCAACTTTCTGCTTGACCTGCTTCAGTCTGGATTCTGCTCTCGTCACTCTGTTGAAACAGCTGTGACCAAAGTATCCAATGATTTAATCACTGCTTAATCTCGTGGCCATTACTCTATCCGATTTCTCCTTGATCTTTCTGCTGCCTTTGACACTGTTGATCATCAACAGCTTTTTCTCAATCTCGGTCTACGAGATACTGTTCTCTCTTTGTGCTCCTCCTACCTCACCCAGGTAGTATTTCTTTCTCTGGCTCTGCCTCTTCTCCCCAACCCCTCTCTGTTGGCGTTCCCCAAGGTTCTGTCCTTGGTCCCCTACTGTTCTCTATCTATACTGCCTCCTTTGGTAAACTAATCAGCTCCTTTGGCTTCCATTATTATTTATATGCAGATGACACACAAATCTACCTGTCCTCTCCTGATCTCTCTGCGCCCATCTTGACTCGTGTCTCTGACTGCCTCTCTGCAATTTCCAACTGGATTGCTGCCCCTGCGCTCTGCCAAAGATTTACGCCTATCCTCTGTCCTTACATCTGATGCTTGCCTCCAGGGCTGCACCTGTTCTGTGGAAATCCCTTCTCTTCTCCGTAAGACTTTCACACAGTCTTCACTCCTTCAAAAAATCTTTGAAAACACATTTTTTCAGGAAAGCATATCATTTAAACAGTTAGCGAGTTTTCATCTCTTACCACCCCCATGACTCCTCTCCTGCAACTGTCAAAAATAATACTTTTCTAGCAACCTATTTCATTTCCCCTTCTTATACCCTTTGTGTCACTATACCCCACTCCCTCTAGCATGTAAGCTCATTGAGCAGGGCCCTCAACCCCTCTGTTCCTGTGCCTCCATTTGTCTGGTTACAATTACGTGTCTGTTAGACCACCCATTGTACAGCGCTATATAATAATAATATATATGTCAAAGTACTGACACCTTTTTCTTTTCTTTTGTGTGGAACTGGAAATTGTACACCCAGAATGTTATTAATTTCGTCACTCGCATCAGCTGTATCGAAAGGGAATCTTGGTGTATGCCTATACTGCTACCACTAGGAGGAACTGTGGATTTAAAGAAGTAGTCACCAGGAGTGGGAGTTTTTGCAACAAATTGTAAAGGTCATCAAATAAAATGGTCACCTTTTCTTCTCTATATATTTATTTGCGTCTACTTCTTTGAAGAAAATTTAGGTAATTATGCGAAATTCCTGAATATTAATATTTAAATCTAAGAAATGTATTTAAGTGCTGGATTGTGAGGATAAAATTATATTCCAATCATTCTCATTAAGGTATTTTAAAAATGCATCTAAATCTATCATTGAGCCCTTCCAAATAAAAAATATATCAATGAAACGCGATAGGTAACCAAATTCGTTATCCAAGCATGGCTTTGGTATATGAATAATTCTTCCCAATAGGCCATGAACAAGTTGGCATAGCTTGGAATGAATTTGGTTCCCATCGCCGTTCCACGGATTTGGAGATAAGTCTTTTAAAACCAGAAGATATTATGTGACAGGTGAGTGAGGCACAGTTGGAGGAGGGAGTGTTACAGGACTAGGAGAAGTGAGCGTGACAGAGTGACAGTATCTGGAGGTGGGGACAGTGGTGTGTCCTGGTTTTGTGCTGCCCTAGGCAGGACAAAACTCAGGCACCCCCCCACTCCCACGCCAGCCCCACCCAACCCTTCCCCCCGCCCCGCCTTCTAAATACACACACACACACACATTCACTGACAGATACGCATACACACGCTGACAGATACGCATACACATGCTAACAGACACACACTCTAACAGACACACACTCTAACAGACACACACACACTCACTCTAACAGACACACACACACTCACTCTAACAGACACACACTCACTGACACACACTCACTGACACACACACACACACTGACACACACACACTCACTGACAGACACACTCAGACACACTAACAGACACAAACTGTCAGAAACACACACTAACAGACACATACACACTAACAGACACACACATACACACAGTCAGACACACACTAACAGACACATACACACTAACAGACACAGACACACACATACACACAGTCAGACACACTAACAGACACACACATACACACAGTCAGACACACACTAACAGACACATACATACTAACACACACACTAACTCACTAGCAGACACACTAGCAGACACACTCACACAGTCAGACACACACACACTCACATTAACACTTTTTTTTTAATTTACCCCCTCCTTACCTTTGGGAATGCTGGGGGGGGTTCTCTATCTCCCCGGTGGTCCAGTGGCTGCGGGCAGCGCTGGGCGGGCGGCTGGCGAGGGAGCTCTTCCTCCGAGCTGTACGCTCAGCTCCCTCGCGCGCCGCAGAGTGAGGCTGGGAGCCGGAAGATGACGTCATTTGGGGGCGGCATTTTTTGCCGCCCCCTGGAAAATGGCGCCCAAGGCAAATGCCTTGTTTGCCTCGCGGCTAAAACGCCCCTGGGTGGGGAGGGGGGTTATTTGACAGGGTCAGTGTGGCATGGCAGGGGCATGATTAGTGTAATAGTTTTGGAGGGCTTAATGTGATGGGGTAAAGGTGGATGAGTGTGATAGTGTAAAAAGTTGAGCGTGACCGGATTAGGGGGTTTATGTGATGGGGTAAGTGTGACAGGATCAGGAGGGATTAATGTTAAGGTGGCAGGGTGAAGTAGGTTAACAGTGTGTTTTTTAAGGTGGTGACAGTGTGTGTGGAGAGGGGATGGGGGTGACATAATGTGGAGAAGGAGGGGTCATACGTGTGGAGGGGTTTTCTTATTTGAAATACTTTTAAAAAAAATTTTTTTTTATGATTTCCTAATCCATTCGCTGGTGGTCCGGTGGTCTGTTTATCTGGTCTGTAGCTCCGCTGGGTGCAGAGCTGCAGAGCACATGGTAAGTGTTTCACGAGATCCAGTTGGAGCGTTGCCATGGTAACCTGTATCAATGCTCTGATTGGCTGGAGATCGCGAGATACATCATTCTGCAGCTCTGCACCCGGCAAACCTGCAGACTGACTGTAATGCTGGCTCTCTCCATGGGCAGACTGAGTGAAGGGCCTCACACCCAGCGGCATAATGTGCAAGCCACCTGGCCCCCTCCCTATGTCGGGCCCTCTGTCGTAGAAAAGTATTGTGGGCTTTGTATAACAAATGGGGATCTGCATTTTGGCCATGCTTGTGCTAAGGGGGCCCAAAGAAAATTCTTGAATCAAGGCCCTCTCTACATTAGTTCTGCCACTGGGCTCCATCAATAATTATTATTTTGCGTTTGTGACTCGATTGCACGGTGCTCGAGTGCGGAATGCATAGGACAGGTAGAAACAATGGAATGCTGTGTAGGGAAGGGGGTAGTGCCTTGGGTAGGGGGCAGTGCAGTGCTAACGCCGCTGCCTGCTGCACATGCCAGCTTGTGGCAACTTGCCGTTATATATAATATTTGAACCTACCTTTCTGTGATTAGAGGCGTTTATTGTTGTTATCAAGTATCCATGTAAGTGTTGTTTTTTTTAAATTTTTTTATTATTAAATTATTGTTTTGTTTATTTGCCTACCTAACAATTTATGACGGGCTTGCTTAAGGTTTTCTAAAAAGAAAGCTTTATTTCTTAATACATTGATTCCATCATGGCTTCAACCTAATTTCAACAAAAAACAGAACCCCAAAAAAAAAAAAAAATCGCAGATGAAAGAAGAGTATTAAAAGAAAAATGGACGGATAAATACTTTTGTCGAGACAAATACTAAGGCACTATGTTTAATTTGTAGGGAAAATGTGTCTGTTTTCAAAGAATACAATTTGAAGAGGCATTATACAGAAAAACATGCTGCCAAATTCTGAGCTAACCAAGCAATGTGTCGTAAAGACAAATTAGCGGAATTGAAAAAGTCTGGCGTCCCAAATTTTTTTTTTTTTTTTTTAGTTACAACTGAAAATTACTTTATTATAAAAGCTAGTTATGTTGTAGCAAATCTGATTGCCAAAACCATTTACCGATGGTGAGTTTGTTAAACAATGCATGGAAAGTGTGGCAGATATTATTTACCCTGATTTAAAAAAGAAAAAGAAATTATTTTAAAAATCAGTTTCTCACCAGACAATAGCCAGGCAAATTGAAGAAATAGAAAATCTATTGGCTTTGGCGATAGATGGAAGTACTGATACTACAGCTACAGCTCAACTTGCCATTTTAATTAGAGGTATTGATAACAAATATAATGCCACTGAAGAAATGGCTTCTTTGTTGCCATTAAAAGACACAACTAAATCTCTTGATTTGTACGAAGCGGTAAAAATGACATTAAACCAATTTTCGGTAACACATGTCAACATATGCGGTATAACTACAAATGCGCCCCGGCGATGGTTTGTAAAAGTGAGAGACTTGCAAAATTGAAAGAAGATGATGCAATTGCCGAGGGCAACTCACATTTGATGAAGTATCACTGCATTGTACATCAAGAAAACATATGTGCAAAGGCATTAAAAATGGATAATATCATGCAAATTGTCATCAAAACAGTGAATTTCGGGGGCCTAGCCTACAGAGTAACTGACGAGACGTCTTTGCTGGACTCCGTAAAGGTCTACCAGAAAATAGAATAGAGAAGCAACTTACCCCAGTCTTTGGAGCCAGTAACTAACCCCATCCGCAGCCAGAAACTATGGGGCGCAAAAACAAAAAAGTTTCCGTTCGGAAGCTCCTCGCATGCTGGACATACGGCTCTCGTTTGAGAGACCAGTAGAGCCGCAGCAATCTAAGATGGCGTCGGAGGCCCAGTGCAAATCCGAGGCACCTAAAGCTTCCCAAGAGGACGAAGAACCCCTCTCCGAGATTCCGGGAATACCTAACCCACATCTGAGTTGGAGGATGACTAAAGGAGACATCAGAAAACTACTCGTGGACCTAAGGCGGGTCTGGAAAGAGGACCTACAGGTGGTCCAGTCTGAAATTGGGGGGATTCACAGGAAAGTTAGGGAGATAGAGGCAAGAGAGGTCTACAGAGACAAAACTATCCAAGATGCCAACAGTAGGATAAGAGGATCTTACCTCACAGGTATAGAAGCTGACCCGTACTGTTACCATGATTGAGATGCGCCATAGGCGTCGAAATATGCACCTCCGAGGCATCCCAGAGACACTTTATGCACAACCTTCTGTCCTCTATAGGTCTGGACAGAGGCCTTGATCCTTCCCAGATCATCTCAGCGTTCCAAGTGCGCAAGTCAGCTTCACACCAGAGGGAGCACCAAGAGACACCATTGCCATAACCCGGGACGTGGCTATAAGGTCAGAGATCATGAACCGCTCACGGGCACTGGGGACAATACGCCATGAGGGCCAAACAGTGGCTATATATGCTGATATCCCGTTCACAGTCCTCATGGAAAAAAGGAGATTGGCACCAGTAACCAGAAGGCTCAGAGACAGCTCAATTAAGTACCGCTAGGGAATGGAGGGATCCCTTCTGGTGGGGGGGGGTGTGCTGAGATGAGAGCCTCATGCTGACATCGTTGGGCGACCCAGGGAATTTGCTAAGCAGCCTGGGACGGGCACCATACCGGCAGAGACCTCCACATCATCACCCCAAAGACGCAAGTCCGAAGAAAACACTAAACACAGATCCATGTCCTGGCACTTAGAGCTGCAGTTAACCCATTAGCCGCAACAAGCGAAGGGCCACTTGGGGAAGCCGCGCCTGTATAGAATAATACACACAACAACACGCTATCGGAAAGCTTAGCCCTTCACTCTACATGCCCACATACCAACAGACTCGCTGCATAAGGGTGCGGGGAGTCACTCCATCACTAAGTTTTGCTTGTATCACTCAAATACATTACGAGACAGAACTAGCCTGACACTAAAAGCTTATGTTGAAATAAGAATGTACAGTTTATTAGCTAGACTTTCATGTACAAAAAAAGTGCAAATTGTTTTCTAAGACAATGTTTTATTGCTATGTCTTGCAACGAATGTTTTTTTAGTACAACCTACCATATACATGCTTGTACATGGTATCTACCAAAATAAAGAATAAATTTAAAAAAAATGGGAATTTCATAAGGCCAGAGGATTGAATCATCGCCAATTCAAGGAGTTCCTTAAAAGTATGGATGTGGATTATGGGGCCATCATTTATTTTTCTGAAGTAAGGTGGCTCCGTCAGGGTAAAATGCTAAAAAGATTTTATGAATTGCGCAATGAAATCAAGCCATTTATGGAATCAAAAAAAAAATTGTGCCAGAAGATAAAAAATGGCTCACAGATTTAGCATTTTTGGTGGATTTGACCGCTCATTTAAATGAGTTAAGAATATGTCTTCAAGGTGAAAACCAACGTATTACTGCAATGTTTCAAACCATAACAGCGTTTGAAATGAAACATAAAGTATGGCAAGCTCAAGTTCTGGAAAATAATTTTATACATTTTAATACGTTGGCTAAACACAGTCATGTGAACAGCGAGAAGTATGCATCCTTGCTTTTCGATATGATACAGGAATTTGAGAACAGGTTTTAAGGTTTCAGAAAAAAATCATCAATATTTTGCTATATATTTTCGACTCCATTTTCAGTCGACATAACTTCATTGCCTCCAAATTTTCCAATGGAATGCATAGAGTTGCAGTCAGACATTCAACTCAAAGAAAAATTTGATCGTGTCTCTCTGCTGGACTTTTATAAGGCCTCTCTTCATTTTGCTAACCAATTTGTACTGTATTTGAAGATTGCAGCATTTCATGTCTGACTGGTGTTAAAAAAAAAAAAAAAACCACAACCCTAAAAAGTGCATTATCCCCATTATAGAAGTAGACATTTACATTGTATTCTGATATTTGGGTGAAAGGGAAAAAAACTTACTAGCGGCAGAATTCTTGGCTTTTTTTTTCTAAAAACACAACAAAAAAACAATCCTCTAAATAGACGAACGTTGCATTTTTATTGCACGAGAAGTCTGAACATTTTTTATGTCCTGTGTGTTGTAGATATTAGTACAGCCATATTATCGACTGGACTACAAAAGTAAGATGGCCGTTTTGCTGTGTGTGTATGAACGCATGTATGTTTTCAATAGCGGTAACAGAGGCACTGTGTCTTTAAGAATTCCTAACTGATTCCATTTTATATTTTAATACTTCAGACTATTATAGTTTTTATAGTAAAATCCGGTCTGCCTAGTGCAACACACAGGGATGAGGGAGTCCGACTCAGAGTGGATAGCTCAATACTGAACCAGGACAGGGATACACCCAAACCTGTCCAAAAGGAATAAAAGACAGTAATACCTTCAAGGTAGTGAGTTCAGGAGCTAGTTCACTATAATATGGCTTGGTTGACAATATAATAGTTGTATCCGTTTCTAGGATAACCAGTATTGACGGAAAAAGATATATATGTATGGTGTGTATACCTTTAAATCTCAGATCTCAGATTTAAAGGTATACACACCATACATATATATCTTTTTCCGTCAATACTGGTTATCCTAGAAACGGATACAACTATTATATTGTCAACCAAGCCATATTATAGTGAACTAGCTCCTGAACTCACTACCTTGAAGGTATTACTGTCTATTATAGTTTTTAGATTGTTAGTTATTGTAGGATGTTGTTCACCTCTGCAAACAGTGTTTCATCATGCCTTATGGTTTTATACAATGCTGTTGAGGTTTTTAATCACCCATCTTGTGTTAACATCAATTCTTTTCACACCTACTTCCAAGGCTGCTAGGTCATGCCATCTTGCACTAAAGGGGTTGAATACATTCATTTATATAAACATTAATGCAAATAAATCAAATATAAATGTAGGTTAAATTAATGTGGTGCTCCAACCAGACTAGAAAAGAGGAACAGAGGGATTTGGGCCCAAAATAGGGACACTTGGGAAGGATCTGTCCATGGTCTCATCAGATTTTCCCAGAAACTTGTGTATGTAATCAGCATAGTGGTTTGTCTCCTGTACTATAGAACGTATATTTCTAAAATCAATGTAAAGTTACAATTCATGCAGGCTATAGGCAACAATTTAATCCTTTTTGGAACTAGATTTTGAATATTTTTTGTCTGACTATCATACATGTTGGTGTAAAAAAAAACGCCACAGCTATTTTCAGCATAGATTTATTTTAAGAGTGAAACCAATGTGGAATGTAAACAAACTGTAGAATGTTGCCTAATGATATGTGTTTTAGAGCTAGAGTGACACACAAGTTTACCTCCAAACATCACCGAAGTTAAAGGGAAACTATAGCTTGCCCGCGAGATTGATACCAAAATGAAACGCTTGCTCCACTGAGTGGCACCTTTTATGAGTAGCTTAATTCTGGGGCAATGGCATGTTCAATGTAGAGAGCTTACAATAACAATTCCAAGCACTTCTGTTGCGCAACTTGGAATAAACCTGAGACTCCACATAAGCATATATCTCAACAACTCTTCATCATGCTGGTTTTCCCTCCAAGCCTGTCACTTGCTTTACATCAGTGGTTTTCCGAGCAATCCCAGAAGTCTAGAATTCTGCGATTTCCAAATTCTGTTTTATTGATTATATTGGGAACTCTAGAATGTTGGGATTCCTTGAGTTTTTTTTTTTTTTGTTTGTTTGTTTTTTTTAGAAACCACTTGCTTACATCAGATTTTCTTATTTTGTAATCTGAAAAGGGTAACTATATTTAATTTTTAGAATAAAACACAACATTGTTATAGTACATGGGACCTATGCTGTCTGATGTAATCTTAGTGTGTGTCTCCATCCATTTATTTATAAAATATTTTACCAGGAAGGATACAGTGCAATTTCTCTCATTTTCAAATATGTCCATGTGCACCTTTATAAAAGATAACATTTTTATCAATGTATATACAGTATACAGTTTATTACATCAACATTGAACCTTCATAATGTAGAATTAATGTACATATACAACATTTTCTACACGTTTGCTAGCAGTTATAGTGCTTTTAAAGAAAATTTTACTTTCTTAAAATTATTTATATAAAACAGATGAATGCATCTAGTGTATAACAAAGAAAACAGATCAAAATCAATCCGTCTATTAGCAACTGAAATAACCAAAGCTTTAAAAATATTGAATACAATAAGCCTGGAGCTATTATTTGATTTAGATCTGTCACCTGATATTTTCTTTAGATAAATGAGATTAACATAATATAACTGAATAATTATACATAACATAGTAAGTTTAACTGTAATAAGCACATGTATTTCCACATGGAGGTGGTCATATGGGAATTACATCATAGCTTGTTAACTATCCTGTATAGTTACTATTTACATCACACACAACTTTTAGAATGAATGAGAGATCTGCAGCCAACCAGAACCTTCTTACCAGATGAGAGGTATAGTTTCTAGTGTCCTGCTGTGCCTAGTGATGTTTGAGATTACTTATGCTAAGGTATGGGTTAAATGATTTTTACATTTTATTTATTTATCGCAGTTTGCAGTATTTAGCTTTCTGTTCTTTAGGACCTATGGATGTAACCGCTGTACTTGAAGTACAAAAAATTGTTATGCTTTCCTGAATTAAATTCAGAATATTGGCTGATTTGTCTGTGTATACAGACACAATACGAGTAAAGGGTTTTCATGTATATTTCTATATCCTCTTATTTTGGTTAAGAATCCATTGTAAATACTAGAGGAGGAAACATTAGAACTTAATTGCAGAGGTGCACCTAATCTATTTGGTGCCTGGGGTGGAGTTTTGCTTTGACACCCCTCTCACCCTCTTGTGTGTATTTATGATCGCCCTTAAATTGCCAGAAATATATGGCGGTATATGAAGTTTTGTCCCTGTTCCCTCCAATCACTATATGCCACTCAAGGGTCCTTTCAAAAGGCAGAGGAACATGGAAACCCTCTAACTCAACCCTGCCACATTAGGTGACAATGCCTTGGAGAGGTGTACTGTGCACGTCACCTTATGCCTGTCCACAGTGTGGACCCCCACCTTATTTGTATGCTACTGTGTAGTGGATTTGTCTTCTGGTTATCAAACACTTTACTAGTCTGCGTATACAGATCAACAACTCCCATGGGAACTTCCCAGCCTCATGGTTGGCAAAACGAATATACTTGTCACCTCTCAAGTACAAATATCACTACATGGCTTCATGTCAACCCCATGTAGATTTTAACTATTCATATCATTGCAGTGAACGCCTAACTTACCTTTACAGATCAGACATCTGTAAAAAGTAAGAAAAAAAAAATATTTTGGCGTTAAAGGGGTTAATTATGTTGAGCTATGCAGTTGAAGGTCAAATTCTTTACGATATAAGAGGGTGGAAAGTAAGAGAAAACGGTGTATGTTTAGTAATGTTTCTTGCTTGTTCCATCTATGAATAACTATAGAATATTAGCACATATTTGCATATATATTGCATACCGAGAGCAAGGCCATAAAAATGGTGTTGTAACAGAATAATACAATAATAATACATTTATATTTTGCTAAACAAAGCCATCCTTTAGAAAATATTACAAGTTACAACATTCTCTGTGTAAGGCTTTACTAAAATGTATTTAATAGTTTGTATTGTGTGGGAAGCATTGCATTTGTTTTTCTAATGTACATTCTTGTAAAATATTTTTATACATTATTATTGTTTAAAGGAATATAATTTTTTTTTTTTTTTTTTAATGTACACAGGAAAAAAATAAAAATAATCATTATGAGCCAGGATAGCTGGATGTGTATTTATGGTCAGTAAAACTTTACTTCAGTCAGCAAGATATAATATAAATATAATATACATAGGTTCTTTCTTCTTTTTAAAGTTCATGTCCTTCATTGGCTTAGATGAACATCCAAGCACCATAACCACTGCTGCCCTCTGTACTGGTTATGGTGCCAATAGTGCCCTGGCCCCCTCCCATCAATAGTACTAAAACTATATGAGAAGAATTTGACAACTGAATTGTTCCTCCTTCTGCCCCTGGAAGCTCATGCAATAAGCTAAGCATGGTGATACAGGGCTTTAGCGCACTGGCTGAGAGCGCTCAGCTGGCTCTTTGGACTAATGGAATCTCCTTGCAGGAGCTTTGGGCTCCCCTGGAGGAGGTGCTTGATGAACCCCGGGTAAGTTATCAAACAGTTTCAATACCTACCGTTGGAGGGCTCAAGGGCACTCCTGCACCATAACCACTACAGTGGACTGTAATAATGATGTTGCTTGGAGTGAACCTTTTAAGCTCTCCTCTGTTTCTCAACTCGCACTACAAGGAACTTGAACGATGAATGAACTCAAGTTCCACTTAAGAATATCTGAGGAAACTATTGAAGCTTTGGGAAGTGGATTAGCATTCTGATAGTATATGACATCAAACGTAGATTATATTTGCCATAGGGCAGGCAACCATTGTGAAAAAGAGAATTCCTGAGTTTAGGAGATTGCACTTATTGAGTACCAGGAGATAAGACCAGAAAGAAAAGCAGTCCCTTGTATTTTGCCCTATGAAATATTTTTTGTATAAATTCACTTGTTTTGTACTTGCTTGATCCTTATTACTGACGGGTGTTCTGTACCGCATTGTATAATATCCAAAGTGTGGATATATGCATTATAACTGTACTTGACGGATACATAATGAATAACTCATATCCTGGTCAGCGTAATAATGACTTGACTCAGCAATGTAAGAATGATCACTGTTTGCAGTATTTCACAGTATGAAATTCCTTCCTTTTGCAGGTTGAGCATCTGCGGACATTGGAATTGCCATCTTGGTACCCAGTTATCAAACAAGAAGATGATGTTACCAACCGAACACAAATGCTGCATCCTAGGTAGGGGGGATACGAATGCATTGCTTGCTGGCATTGCTTTATTAATTGTACTCTTTTTATTTATTTTTTATTACTCTTACATAGAATAAGCAATACATGTTTAGAAGCAATCATTGCAGGGATAGGCAACCTTAGGCACTCCAGATGTGGACTAGATCACCCATAATGCTGGCAAAGCATCATGGGAGGTGTAGTCCAAAACATCTGGGGTGCCCAAGGTTGCCTATGTCTGCATTAGAGTGACAGATTTTTGAGTTTTTGATTAAGATTGTGTAATGATGGATACTCACAAGATAGATAGACCCTTGAGATAAAATATCAACAAATTATCATGTGTAAGGGGTGCCATTCTTGTGTTTCTTACATCTGGCGAGAGCTGAAAAATACTAAAAGGATGGGTTATGCAACTTTTGATAAAAATAGCATTTAATGTGTTTCACATTAACTATTACTTGGCTGCTACTAATTGGCTTGATGATAAGTGTGAAAACACCTTTAATTTTGCGGTAGCTGCACGTGTTTTATAATCTGGGTTTTTTTTTGTGTGCTGTGCCATCTAGATATTTAGGGAATACATTTACATATTATATTGATCACACATGCTTTCTTTGTTATGTGTGATGCAAAATAAGGTCAAAAGGTTTGATGCCTGGGAAAAATATATAGGACAAGTAAAAATAAGTACATAAAAAAAGAAACACCGCTTTTAAAGGAGTTTAGATTGGTGTCGCTGTGTTTAAACGGTTATTCAGCATGTATAACAATGTATATTTCTTAATGTATGCATAACACCGCAACCATTTCCCACATTCAAGCTGGACGTTGCTAAAATGTCCCAGGCAATAACGTGTATCCCTTTGAAACAAATGAAAAAAGCAGTACACATGCTTTGGGTGTTTTGTTCACATGCCAACACATACATGTTTGAAAATAAAGAGATACTATAGGCATCAAAACAACTTTAGCCTACTGAAGTAGTTTCAGTGTATAATTCATGTCTCTGCAGTCTCACTGCTCAATTATCTGCCATTTAGGAGTTAAATAATTTTTTGTTTCTGCTTATGCAGGCCTAGCCACACCTCCCATAGCTGTGACTCACAGGCCTTCATGGAAAAAATGGTTTCATTATCAATCAGATGTTAACTTGCTTAAACGGTTTTAATCTCCTGCTCTGTAAATTGTACTTGAATCACAAACAGGAGGCTCCTAAAGGCTTTAGAAGGCTATTAAAAGAGCAGGAGCTAAGAAATTCTAAATTAAACCGAATGTGCAGTAAAGGAAGTTTAAACCTTAGGTGTCTCTTTACAGGAAGTGTCTTGCAAAGCCAAGTAACTTGTAGGGAGGTGTGGCTAAAGCTGCACAAACAAAGTAATTAAATTCCTAAATGGCAGAGAATTGAGCAGTGAAACTGCAAGAGCATGATCTATACACCAAAACTGCTTTATTATGCCAAACTTGTTTTAGTACCTACAGTGTCCTTTTAAGCCAGTTAGTAGTAGAAGATTCCTTCCTATCCTCTCTTTTCCTACCTGCCCTCTGCTCTCCTCTCTGATCTATCCTCTCTGATATATCCTCTCTTTTCTTACTGGCTCATCTCCTTCTCCCATTTTTTTTTCTGATCACATTTTCATGAAAATCTTCCCTTTTATTCCTGTCCCTTTTTCTCTTTGCTTGCATTGCCTCTCATCCCTTTTGTTTGCTCTTTCTCCCTTCTTCTCTTTCCATCTCTCCTTTCAAATTAACTTTGCTCTGCGTGTGCAAGCACGCACGTGCGTGATAGTTTCATAAAATGATTTTAACCCCTTAAGGACCAATCTTCTGGAATAAAAGGGAATCATGACATGTCACACGTCATGTGTCCTTAAGGGGTTAAACCGTTCAGTCCATATGTTGATAATGTGTTTTATATTTTTCCAGTTACTATCTGTACATGTATGACAAAGTTGTGGCACCAAATGTATCCCTCTCTGCCACGACAACACAATGCAAAGACGTCAAAACTGTAAGAAGAGACACAGAACCCAGCAAGCCTTTACTGGCTGAATCCGCGAAGCAGACAAAGACCAACAAACATAAATCTGCTACCTCATACCCTGACCTTTCCATAGAGGAGCAAGAGAGAGCAGATCAGAAACCAGATACAGTGAGCAGTAATGGACGAAGTAAGTCAACCTTCCGTTGTATTGTCTTCCCTGGAGTAGCAGAGTTAGATACATTGATTAACAGCTTAGTTTTCTGTTGATATCTGTAGATCTATTTCTAATTGGTTGTGTCCCCGGGCCTGTGTTGTAATGTGTGTGATAAAACCACTGAAATGGAATTCATACATCTTAAGAATGTGTTCAGCTGCCGTAATGCTTTGTGTGCCAGACTAGTGATCTGCACATTGGTTTGCCATGTACCATCCTCACTGGTGCACAGTGATAAATCTGAAAGTATATTTGTAGCCTTTTTCTCATTTGATTCCATTATGTGGAGGGATCAAAGATCGTGATTTAAGCTTAAAGATTTTTTCCCCCCTTTTCTATGGAAATGGCAGTGTTTGACTCAGGAGTTAAGTGTTTTTTTTTCTATCCTAGATGTTTGGAGATACTGGTTATACTACCTAAAGAGGAAGCTGAAATGTATTCCAAAAATAAAAGAAAAGCTAGCCAAAATAAATATTTCCCCAAATCACTGTTGTAATGAACCATAAATATGATGAAATAATATCAATATAATATCATGTAACACTGATCCTGCTTTGCTTAAATTGTTTGCATTGATTTATAGTGGGTATGCTGGATACTTTATGCATTAACACACCTTGTTTTAATCTCCTGTTGGTCTATAACTAAACAGACCAGGGCCATTACAGGACTTCTGGCTGGTGTCAGATTAACCCTTCTCCCCCAGCATGAGTAAACTGAGAGTGGGAGTCCTGCGGCAGTCACATGCCGGCTATTTCTATCCACTGAGTTATACATTCTGTCCGCAGCAATAAAAGATAAACTGCTTGTCTCCAAGTATTTGCAATTTTACTGTTCACTCTATAATCTAAGGCATAAATTTGAAAAAGATTTCAGCAATCATAGGTCATAAAAGATGCAGGGAATGTATTACTTCCAGCATTCCCACTTTATTGCATTTCCAATATCCCTTTGCCAGGCAAAACCACTGTTTAAATTGCAATCTTGGTTCATGGCTAGTTCTGATTTATCAGGATGTGTGGAACTAACATATGTGAAGACATTTAGCCTTACATGTGTTCTGTATCCAAATCATTCCTTTTTTACATCCACTTCTCAATATCCACCTCTTCTTTCAAATATATAAAGAGGTGTGGGGGCATAGCAAGGGGATGGAAGTGTGCAAGTTTAAGAATGAAGGTTACATTTCAACAGAGAGATCCTTTATACCTGCATTCATGGAATCCCGACCTCGATGATCTGACAGTACTCCCGTATCACGAATCTATTAAACTGCAATATTCCAAAGGTTCACCAAATTGATTTGATAGGTCAGAACTATCTATTTTTTTTATTCTTTATCACCATTCCATAATGTAAAGTACACAGCAAATCACTGCTTTGGCATGTTTCAAACCTATAGGTTTATCAAGGGCCAGTTCACATTTATATTGATTTCTCATTGTCAGTTGGTGTGGACATGAAAGTTAAGAGAAATGTCGATCTTTTGCTCTATACCTATCCCTACCTTTTTCTCCACCTTTTGCAGCAGCCGCCTCTTTTATGCCAATCCACCTTTGTGTATGCCTGGTCTCAACTATCGACTACTCCTTCCTATTTTATCTGCACCTCCTTTTATGCTGACTGTTTTCATATCATCTTTTTTATGTGGTTCACTGTCAACATTTTTGAGCCGCACTACTTACATTAGATATGGTCACCATGAGTATCACTTGTACTATGGAATTTATGGGACAGGTTTTTTTTTGTTGTTTGTCGCTGTGTGGATATGCGTAAACAAAAATATATTTTTTTAATGGTACAGCCAAGTCCCCTTTATTTGCTTCTGTACCTTGTGTTGATGACTATCACAGCTAATAATGGAAAAATAGACCTTTCCTGACAGGTTTCACAATCTATGACTTAAACCTTTTCACGTTCAAAACCATTGTTATCAGCTTAAAGATAACCTCTTATTTATACATTGTGCTTGTTAACCTTTTTTTTAGTCAGGGAGGCATATTACGTACTTGGCATTTTCTTGGTGACCCAGTCTATCAAAATTTAAAGTTAGATCCGTGACCTATTCTTCAACTTCAAAATTAGCTTGGTGCTGCATACTACAAATATCAAATTAGCTTTATCATCATGTTCTACAGTTATGTAACTACCTTGTACAACACATTCTGCAAATATGTGACCCATTCTGTAATATCCTAAATTTAAGCAAAACACCTTAATTGGACACTTACTAGTGTGAAAATGGTCTTAATCTCACTGAGAAAAGCAGTGCTGGTACAAACTATATTGTGACTACTTAGTTAGGACTAACATGTGTTTGTTCAAACCATTGGAAGCTTAATGAAATGACTAGAGCACCTATTTCTGGCTCCCTAAGTGGACTAAAAGGTTACGGGACACCCTCGTGTTTTTTGGGCACCGGACAAGAAACCTTTTTATAGGCCTGCATCTGCCACAGTAGGGGTAAACATCAAATTGCAAAAACAAATATAAAATAAACTAGTTCAAATAAGAAACTAAATTTGATACTTTTTGCAACACACATATATTTTAGATTCTTTTGTGTAATTCTGTTTCAGAAGCTCAAAATTCACTTGTTGGTGTATGATCCACCTCGTGTCTGTCATTATGGCAGCTGATGGCTTGGTCATCTGAAATTATCCTATATACTACCAAGGTTACTAACCTTTGGATTATTTGGAAAGCTAAATCACTTTCTAGCTATAATTATCGGCTTCCTATATCTCCTTCACAAAATTGGCCCACACAGATATTTCTATGCAATTTCAGCCATTGTTCATGTAAAAGGAAGCTTTTAACTTTTCTTTCAGTGTAGACTATAGTGTAGCACATTGCTCTTTTATTCCTATATACCTTTGGGGCATTCATATGTTCTTCATATGATTAATATAGATACTGTTATTGTTCATGCTGTGTTGAAGTGTAAAAGTCTCATTGAGCTTCATCAGTTACAATGTTATATTTATCTTGTTCCAGAGCCCAGTTCTGTGAATGGGGAAAAGAATGGTCCAATTTGTAATAAAGATACCGTGTGTGAAGATGACAAAGGACACATTATGGAAGAAGTTGTTAAAACATTCCTCAAACAGCAGGAAAAACTAAATTATATTCTCCAAAAGAAGCAGCAAATTCAGATGGTACGTCTGCTTTAGTTTTACCAATTAACTTCATATGGTATCTCTCCTTATCAAGTGAGACAGAGGGGGGAATAAATCATCTTGTGCAAAAAAATGCTCATCTTGTTAATAAGTATACTTATTACTTATAGTTATATGTAAAATTGCACTGTAACAGCCTTGGTATACAAAGCAATAAGTCTGTCCAAACATGGAAAGCGAGCAAGACGCTCACAAACTTAATCCCATTTGTTAAGCATATGTTTAGAGACGTGTCTGCACCTTTTTTCTGTTCCTATCATGTTTCGAATGGATCTATCCTCATTGGTTGCCCACTCAGGCTATACAGCAACACTTCTGCTTTTTAGAAAGCAATCGTAATATTAAACGCAATAATTGTTAATGAGCAGCCTTTACATATTCCACGTGCACCTACTGCACTGAACACAAAGCTTCGTGGGATACCTTAAGCTGGCCCACAGAAAGGAATAAAAACACCAAGACGGTCACCAATATCTTAACTCTGGGTCCTGGGGAGTGTTTAAATCCATCTTGTTGTGTCCCTTTAAGAGCACCAATTTGGCCATTCTAATTTAACCACTAAACACCCTCTCTTTTAATTAATTTTCTATTTATTGTCAGAAGAAGTCCAGTCCAGGAATGGAGTGTTTGGCGTAAACATTTGTATCATGGTATTGTCATTAGACCTCAGTGTGGTTAACATAGCTTCTAAGCTCATATTGCTGTGTGAGAACCAGTCATAGCCCTTAATTCACACCTAAAGCAGATCTACAGCCTCTGTAACCAACTGTAATCCTGAATCCTGTTTTGCATGTTCCTAAAAAAAGTCTCTATTCCAGGAAGTTGAAATGCTAAGCAGCTCTAAAACCATGAAGGAGTTGACCGTGGAGCAGCAGACCTTGCAGAAAGAGTTTGAATCGTTACAGACAGAGCATATGCAGAAAATGGAGGAATTGTACGATGAACAAAGGGACTTAGAGGAGAAACTGAAACAAGTCAAGAAACAAAAGTGTTCGTGTGATTCAAACCCAGACAAAGACAAAGAAACACAGTATGCAAACCAGGTACAGGTGGAAGAATTTTATGATCATATGGAACATGCAGTTGGCTTCAGTAATCAAACTGTTTTAATTCTTTGAGTGCCAGAGGGATAGTCCACACATCAGTATGGCATTCACAATTTATTAAATGGGTAAAAATTTATTTTTTTGGTTTGTTAATGGTAATGGTACTCTTTGTTGTTTGAAATACAATCTGGGAAATACTTTTTGCAAGACTGTTCCACTCCATTCTTCAATTCAATTGAAAAACGTGATACATTTTCTTACTAAGCAGCCATATTTGATTGTGTGACTCTCTGCATTGTTATTGCAAATTAGCAGTCAATTACGTAGCATTTTAGGGAATTGCATATCCATTTATAGATTCTGTCATTGGGACAAATTGACTGAAGTGTCACAATAATATGACCTGAAATATCTCCTAGTATGACTCTTTAAAAGCCTATTATTCAGTAACTGGCACCCCAAAAACATAACTACAATAGCTAGAAAGATATCATAGTATAAAAGCTAATATTCGCATTAATGCAATGTTTGACTATCTTCTTAATATATTTTGAAAATACAATGAAGTCTTGTTTTGTACTAGTTTTCATTCTTTGGTGTATTTGCTTTATGATCCTTCTTTATCATTTATATACCGTTTTTTTCTTGTTAGAAATTGATGCCATGTTAACTACAGATAAAACCAGAAGGTTATTTATTCAAGCTTGAATTTTATGACTGACATTCATTTTTGTGTGTATTGGGTAATTAGTATTTAATGTTTAGCAAGGTCTTATCTTTCCTATTCAGTGCATTCGACACAAAATTCTTTACATAGCCCCTGTCATTGTATTGGAAACATAACATTTATATTTGTCCCAATAATGGAATGAGTCTATCGCCCCCACAATTAACTTGTCATGCCTTGACAATCTGATTTTCTGTTCTGTAACTACCATGCCTTGTGTTTACATTGATGCAGCTGACAGAACTGCGGCAGAGACTGGATCAGGCTGAGGCAGACAGACGGGAGCTTCAAGACGAGCTGAGGAAGGAGCGGGAGGCCCGAGAGAAGTTGGAGCTCATGATTAAAGAGCTTAAACTTCAGATTTTGAAGTCGGCCAAGGCCGATAATGGGGAATAGGTGACATACATTGCAGAAAAGTCATTCTGCTTGAAACAGGGTTTGTTTTTGTGACCTGGACTGAAACAAGAGCATCTCATCCTGCAGCATAAGGTGTTGACGTGATGTGGTGAGCAGCCACCTTGGCCATAAAAGGTGGGAAGAGACGGCAATGTGCAATTTGTGATAACCTTTTGCTGCTGATAGATTCATCAATGTTTTGACACTTCCAGATAAAACACACTCTGCTATCTAAAAGATATTTTGTTTTGTATGTTCATCATGCCCCCTGCAATGTGCGGGAAAGATCACTTAAAACAACAACAACAAAAAGATCCAGGGAATTCCGGGATTCTAAAACAAACTGAGGGTATTTGAAGTTGTAACTAAATTTATACTCCACTCAAATCAAACTTTTGTGCACATTTATTTTGGCAATCTGAAAAGGTTCGAGGTGGACCTTTTGCGCTATAGTGCATATTTTTACTGTACTTTAGCTCCCTTTTGACGTGCTAAATTGTAGATGATTTAAACATTGTCAAAGTTCTCCAGCTCTTTAATGCTCCATAATGCTGCTATGACTTTTTTTTCCCATGGAGAGAGTATATTGGCTATTATTTAAAATGTTGTCTTGTTAAACTCTCTTGTATACAGAGTCCATTTTTAAAATACAAATCTGGATTCACAGATACATTTTATTTACCTGCAAAATAAATAGAATGCCTCTGCGTTGGTGAAATCAGGGCATCTGGCAATGGTTATCTTCCAGTGTTTTGTAAACCATTCTTTATTGAATGGAAACCCCAAATTATCACCTGAAATAAAAGAATCCACAAAGCACTGATTATCTATGCATCAGTGGCTAGAATCCCTAAGTATTCGTAGAGTATCTACATGCAGGGAATAGATTACTGGTATGTTTGTCTAATTTTATTCATTGTTAGCAACTTACCATTAAATGACTGGAGGGGAAGCTCTGCATTCTGAATTATTGAACGCCAGACAGCAAGCCAGCAGAGATGGGTGAAGGAAATATGACCTGCATAAATATTAAGTCCATTTCAGTTTCTACAGTGAGAAACCCTATCTAGGAAGCATTTCTGTTGTTCCAGAGATAACTGTTTGGAAATGCTGCTGTAGAGTAAGCAATAAATCACGGTGCAATATTTAGATCACCGCAATATATGTCGGCTGGGTGTAATTTACAGACTAATCTTATAAACAGTGGTTATACAAAACAAAATTTCTTAATGCAAAATTGACCTGACCGGTAATTACAATGTATGTTTAACTGGAAAATATTGTGACCAATTGATGCCAGCAAAATGTTTTAATGCTTATTTGGTGAAGCTATTAAAAGAAGAAATTCAAAACTACTTCTACAATGCAAAATTAGGAAAAATAACAATATGAAAGCTTTGAAAAAGACTTAAATTTTTTTGGTCTTTATAAAATATTGCCACCTTCTTTTTTATATTTTTTTTTTTTTTTTTTTACTTTACACATTTATTTTGTTTTTGTTTTGTTTTTTCAAAACCCTTACACCTTTTATTGTGTGCACAAACTTTACTTGTGATGGGGAAATGGTAAAAAGAAAATATATCACAAATGCTAAATATATTATACACAATGTTCTATTGATGGCAAAATGGCCAGTTCAGTACATAGAATGAAGATATATTGAGTGTTCTTATGGATCCAAATAGTGGGCTTGTCTGATTCACCCTGGCAGGTGGCATTGCAGGAGTTGACAACATTATGGAGTATTTACGCGTTTATATCTTTTGTATACATTTATAATTCTTTTCACTGACTACATAAAGAGCCAAGGATTGCTTCAGGTGTTTTGTAGTGAGTAAGTGGTTTTTCACTTTTTTGGGGGGGGTATTCCTTTTTTTATTTTTTTTTTTATTTGTTAGTAGCCTATTTAGTATTGTATACCAAAATGAAACATTGTTTGAAATGAGTGGTTCTAGCATGGTAAAATTTCCTGAAGGAGAAAAAAAACGAAACAAAAAGAAAATAAGCCATTTCCAGCAAACAATTGCCATAATTGTCAGCGTAACTTTCAAAATAGTTCAAATCAGAGGGCAGCAAAGCACTGCCCAGCATTTGAAAGACTTTGGCATGTTTCTAGCCAAAACTTTGCACTTCTGGTACTGGTTCATGAAGAGTACTTAGCCAGAGTCCCAATCACTAAATCTTGATCGGTGCGTTCTCTCCATGGAGTACCACTTGATTATATAGTTTGATTCAGTGGGTTGGTTTATCCAATTATTATGTGAATGTTTGATATAAATATATATGCACAATTGTTTGATGAGGTTATGATATTACACTTTAATCAAGTACCCAAGGATTTTTTTTTTTATATTCCTTAATTTTCTGCCTTATCTAGCATCCTGCCTCAACTTTATCACATCATATGCCTGCCATTAAATCTGGACACTTGCAATATTGCATTTACAAACCAGAGTTTCTCTGTAGCTTTGAACCACGTCTGTTCTATAACGCTGTACTCCTCTTTTTTTTGGGGGGGGGGACCTTTAACCTGGTACAGCATGTTTTTAACCTTGCTGTATTGGTTCAGCCCTATAACTTCCAATTTGCTTCTTTTTTTTTTATTGTCATAATTTAATCTGTTTTATGTGTATTTATTACTGTTTTTTATTATTTTTGGCAACATGCAATTTATTTGTAGGAGTGTAAATAGAAAAAAATATATAAGTTTTAATAATTTAATAATGTTCTGTATAAAAAAAAAAAAAATACTATGCCTTTGTTCTATTTTCTACATATCCATACACTAGAACTATAAAATTGTATTTGGTAGTGCCATATTTTTATTTAAACTCGCAGAATACAAATCATTTTTCTTTTTGTAGAACTGTATATATTGTAAAGTTTTAGCTGGATCACTTTGCTTGGGAGGCATCAGAAATCACTGCATTGATAGCTTACATCATATGTCAATCCAATGCACCTTTTTTAGATCAGTTGTAAAGACAATACTTTGATATTGCTACGTGGTGTATTTGTAACAGCATGCCTATTTTGTAAATTTAGTGAAAGGTGCGATGTTATGTTGAACGTCTTTTGATACTAGCGCACATTTGTATCAGTTTTTGTTTTGGGGTGTTTTTTTTTTTTTTTTGTGGATGGGGATGGGAGAGCGACAAGATATTTTATTTTCCGAATTTGCTGAACCAAGACTATAGAAGTCATTTGGTGAAACAGACTGCAGGTCTGAGACCTCTAGTTGAGGATTATCCACATGCCTGCAGAATCATATGCAAGTGAATCCTTTTTAGATGTTTTCATCTAGCCATTAGATAATTGAAAAACTTGACCCCTTATTAATGATGTAAAGTGGAAGCCATGAGTTTGGGTGCAGACATTTATGGGGATTTGCACTGTAATTCTGCTTAACCCCTTAAGGACACATGAAATGTGTGACATGTCTTGATTCTTTTTTATTCCAGAAGCTTGGTCCTTAAGGGGTTAATGGGATTTAGAAAACATATTTAATTAAAAGGAATTTCAGAGCAAAGCCATATGAAAAATTATCTCTTTCTTGATAAGTCTTTTGGATCTAGTTAATTTTAACATATTTGCAGTTGTCCACAGTGGCTTAAATATGTTACCTGGCCACTTGTAAGTATAATGTTCCCTTCCGTTTGTGGTTATGTATTGAGATATCGTTGGTAGCTGTAACAGCAATAAGGTGCTGCTAGTAAGGAAAAAAGCTGACCAAACTGCAATGTGCAAAGATTGAATTACTCAGGGATACAGGAGCTAAGCACTTTGAGGTGTACTTACTTAATAATAATAAAAAAAACAAAAAACCCTCGAGGGTTCACATAGCAAAACAAATTCAGAATAAATATAACGTGTAATAGGCTGCAAAATCTCCTATTTTTATACAATTTGGTAAGTGATTACCTGATCAATGTAGGTTTAAAAGATGTAGAATGTCTGTATTAAGAAAGTTTATTCAGATAGTGTTTAGCTGTAGCAAATATTGTAAAACACCTAAACTAATTAGTCCTGTAGTCCCTAATAAATGTTTGTCCTTATTGTAACTGGGGTAATGGAGGCTTTCCGATCTTAAATAGAATTTTTTTTTTAAAAACAGCTGTTGCTAACGTTTGATTTTAAATACTTACATTTAATTAAAGGGGCACTACCAGTAGGTAGATCACTAACAATAAAGCTCAGGCTTTAAATAGGAATGTTTTTATATTATTTTACACTAATTCTATAGAAAGCCCCAAGGCAAAGTTACTTCATTGCACTTGCAACCATCTGTACATTTAATATAATTTATTTTTGTGCCTATTTATGACTGTGTCTTTGTCAGAAGACACCAGCTCTACAACCCACTTTTAGTGAATGGCATTTCCCCCAGTTATTGGTAGAGAGTGTGCTAATCCATGTCTACTTCCATCTTTTGTTGTTAGCCTCTCCTCCATGTTGGTGGGCTACTGGCACTGCCACTTGGAGCTACAGTACTGCGCTACGATGTTGGGGAACAGAGCTATACCGAACTATCCAAACGATGGGTAAATGCATGCAAATCATTTACGTTTTATAATTTGTCTTTAATAAAGAATATTTATATTTCGCCTATGGTGGTAGTGTCCCTTTAACATGTAAAGTGGTAGAGCGGGATGAAGCAATACATTGCAGATAGGCTTTCAGAAGGGTTAACAAAGACCAAATTTCAGATTACTGACAACCCCACTCTGATCCATTCTTTAAAGCATTGTGTAGAATTCTAACTTATGTCCCTATTATACAAATCTAGTAACAGTCAACGATGCCCCCTCCTCCCCTGTTCTTGTATTGGAACCCTATGCAATAAACATGTAACATAGTTTTACTTCTATAGAATAAAGAACTGCATACTTTAATGATGTGCAAATCCAAAACAATGCGTAATAATCTGTTTACAGTTGTTTCAAATGTAATATTTAGATCCCGAAAGCCAGACTCCCAATAGCCCCAATGTGCACTGGCCATGACCCAGTGTTGAGCAGTAATTGCCACAAATCCAATTGCAGTTACAGCCAGTTCAGGGTGTTGTATTTTGTATTTTACCATGGAAACTCAGGTTGTGTTTGTTTTTGTGATATTTATTTAAAGTAACTTTAAAAAAAATAAAAAAAAATATATATATACACATATATAATACATATATGTACAGAAATGAAATAAGAAGATTGGAATTATTATTATTAATATATGCTTTGTGTTTAATTTTCCATTATTAAAGAATTCTCTTTAAAAGATTACATTACATTACATTTATAGACTGGTTAATGCAGGGCTCCAAAATTGAAATTTTAAAGTTACTAGCCAGGCCTGAGACCAGTGCACTGGTTTCCTTATATGGAGGTTCAGTGTGTGATTGAACGGTGTATTTACATCACGCAAGCCCACCAACTCCATATCAGCAGTCCATACTGTCCCCTTGGCAGAAGTAGTCCACTCTCTCCCCCTACGCTTTCCTCTGTTATTTCAAGTCCATTACCTACCCCATTGCAAAATAACAATAGTATACTTTAACCTTCCCCTTACATCTTCCAGTAGTAGCTAATTCTCCTTCTCACCCAGACCCTCTTCTTTCTGACCAATTATGATGCATTCCCTATCTTTCTTCTGATGGCAGAGGTTGGAGCGGTTTGAGGACAGTTGTGTGGAGGGTGCTCCATGTGACATTACACAGAATTACTGCAGGTATTGCACGGATTGCTACATGGAGCCCATTGCATGTGGCTTCACTCTTACCTGCTCTGGCAGTCATTCTCGCACTGGAGACTCCAAGATTGATAAAGCTGCAGCCTTTTTCCACCACTGGAGTACAATAAATTGAACTGCAAGGGCTCATTTACAACTTACAGGGCAAGTGCAAGTGTGCCCCTAGCCTAGGAATATCAGTTTTTATAGATTGATTGCAATTCTTGCAGCACAGCATATGCAAATAATGGTATGATGCTTGCTACTGTAATCAATAAGATTGAAACTCGACAAAATCTGAATAGTCCTGAGCACGCCCCCACCGTGACAATCATTAAATAGCCGCCGTAGAACTGTCACTTTGGGTATTCACTGCCAAGTTTAGAAGAAAGTCTATTGACGGCTTGGGAGACCTTTTGATTCTGTCTTAGAGAATCTATTGGCTATTGGAGCCAGTTGAAACTGAAATTAGGTGAACTTGGCAGTGCCATGATAAAATCAAAGACCGTGAATTCACAAGGTGCTCACAGCTCATGTCTGTCTTTATACCACGAGTGAAATTAGAATTTTATCATTTTTAACTTGGTAGCTAAACTTCAGGGCCCAGTGAATAGACCTTAGGGAAACTTTCCAGGCCACAACAGATGGGTTTACATGTTTAAAACAGATGTGAGTCAATTAGAGGCTCATCACGTAAAAGAAATGAGCAGCAAATTAGTGTGCAGTTGCAACATAGCAACAATGACTGAAAGCTGCCACTTATATTTTTCATAAATCTCTTAAATTACCGTATTTATTTTTATCTAATGTGCCTCTTTATTGGCAAAATATAATCTTCAAAATTTGAATGTGCATTCGATTCGAGTATGATTTCAGTACTAACAAAAAGGAAAGCACAGTGCAATAAAGACAAGCAACGCATGCGTACTACTCTCTCGTTTACATAGTTGCTCCTCACTTTACGACCTACTTGGACAACGACCGAAATTAGCATTCACATTGCACCGACAGGAATGTGAGACTTTGTTATTGTGTACAGTAAAGCTATACCTCGTACTTCACAGCATTTGTGTCTTCTGTACAAATGTGCATTACATTCGCCAGCGAAAAATGTTTTGGTTTCAAAATTTGGGTGAGCATTAGATTCAAGTAAATACGGTATTCTGTTTCTAAAATAAAAAAAATAATTGTAAATTCTCAAGGATTTAAAAAAATGTTCTAAAAACCATTTACAGGGTAGCTGATGCATAACATTATGAACACATTCAAAGTACCTCTGATCTATGAGGACACACATAAGTGATCATTTACTTAAATTTCTTAAGATAACTTGCTGTTTTGTGGTGGTTTTCAACCTATCCATCTTTTAATATATTATATTGATGACCATGCAATAAGTTTTACATTTTTATTTCTAAAATGAAAGGAGCAGGTATCATTATTGAACTACAGGGCCCCAACACATTCACAGTATCTCAACCAGTCCAGAGTATCAGATTATCAGTAAGTTTAAACCATAAACTGCTGTTTCTCGTGAACACCATAACTATAAAGAGTAATGTTTTGTTCTTTAAGGACCTCAATCCTTACAGGACCAAAATGTCACTTTCTAAATCCAAACCAGAAATGGCTGCACTGCATATTATTGAAAAAAAAAAAAAATGTTGCAGTTAGTATTTCAGATGACTTATTTTATGAAAAACAGCTTCTTAATAAGGCATGAATTTCACGAAGCGTGTATACGCTACACATTTTTGGCATATTTGGCAAGGGCAATTCAATAAATAATAATAGTGCCAAATACCAAAATGTGACTTCCGATTATACATGCATGTTTTATAGTTTGCTCCCAATGAGCATACACTGTAGAGAGGACTTGAAAATAAAAAAAATCTACAAACATGAACTGGGAATAGTAACGTCCTTGCATCTTTAAATTATTATGTGACAAAAAGGGAATTTTTCTTAAACAATAAAAATTCCCCTAGGAATAATTTATATTCCAAAACTGTTCATGTATTCTAAATATTTAAGTTTAGTGTATCTACGACATCTTTGACACTCCTGTTTTCTATCCAATATTTTAAAATATAAAGGGGCCTTATTGGAAGGCTGAAAGGAAGTGACTTATTGGTAGCGCTACCCACTTATATGACTCAATTCAGCTTTGGGGTGAGCGGAATAGTAATCCCACCCTTTTCAGCCTTATTCTGTGCAAATCTCACCCACATTCTAACCTTTATTCCCAGTGATACTATTTATTTTCCATCTTTTCTGTTAAAACAGCTTCTAATATTTCATTGTTGGAAGACTGCATTCCTTGCGTTTCATTTCTCAACATCCTTAAAGCAAAGTGTTTTAGTCCAAATACCCCCGCGCTGGTTAATTTCAAGCCTATTGGCCTAAATGGTTCAGTGCAGATAATGATGGAGACTATTTCATTCGTAAGATATGTATTTATATTGCAGATAATATTATCGTAAGATTTATTAAACATTTAACAAATAATTTATATATAATTTAAAGTACATTTACATGTGATTTTTTTTTTTTTCTTCTCTGAGTGTGCTTCACAGATATATATTTTATAAATTTTAAAGTCTAATCGAACTACTGCACATAAATAAATAAAAATCAGCAGGGAATTCAGTTTATTTGCTCAGTTTACAGGGCCCTTATAAACTCCCTGGAAGTCTGAGCAGAATGAAAGCTTTATGGGGTAATAGATGCTTAAAGTGATTGTTACTCTTATCATGTCGCTACTGCCCAGGATATAATGCAATAGGGTTTGGTAGCATTTTTAGATTAGCAGCATCTTCCCATATAATGTTGGCTATATTGTGTTTGGAAATACGGATGTTTCAGATTTTATCTTGTGAGACACGAGCACAGATGTATTTGCAGTACTGGAAATCTGATAAGATGATATTGAAGTTACCAGTTCCATAGCGAGACAGTAGAATGAATCTTTCTACAACATTAAATGCTATCATTGAGACCACTGGCACACGTTAAAATTATAAAAGAGTCATTGCAATAATCTTCAAGATGGAAATAAGCTGGTTACCATCTTTGCAGAAATGTAACGTGTGTCCTTCGTGTGTCCCCTCACTTTCATACTTGAATATATTTGTTTGAGCTCTCCTGGAACACTGGCAGATTGAAGGCCAGTACATATACTTTTTAACTGGTTTGCCTCAGGGAGTACACAGTAAATAATGCAAGGACTCACCTGGGTATCATTTTGTCAGTTTCCTGAGAATAATATATATATTTTTTTTTTTTTAAAAAGACATTCCATAATTGCAGTAAGTGAAAAATAAAATATATCCGAACCATTCACATTCTAGGTTTCCAGTTTATAATATGTGGACACATGTCCATTTGTATCACATCCTATTCTCCTCCAGCGGTGGAATCACTGTTTGTTTATAACATTTTACATGTAAATGCTATAAATGCAGTCAGTGAGATAGCTATTTATATTAAATTCTACAAGTCAATAGCCAACATACCATCTAAATGACTAGACTATGAATAGACAAACCAGCATTGCATCTAAAAACTCTGTATCCATACAGGATTCATAAACAGCAGACATTCCATTTATTTACGGTACTATTAAAAGAAAATTATATATAAAGAGACAATATATTCTGCTATTCCACACAACTTGGAAGTAATAAATATAGCCAAAACGTTCTGAAACATAGTGAGATACCACTAAGCTAATAATAAAAAAAAAAATTAAACTAATAGGAATTATAGCTAAAAAAAAATTAAAAGCCATAATGAAGTCACAAACTGAGAAATCTCTTCGTTTAGCAATTATCTATTATTTTTTTTTATTATTGAATGTCATAACTTTATAATGTCTCAAAATACAAGTGAGCTTTATGATCCACTAATGTTACTGTAGAAAACAAACAAACTGAGAGATTAATCTAATCTCCTTCTGTTTAGTAACCAGCATCCTGTTGAGCTGCACTGTCCTTGCAATGAAAAGGTGGACTTTTAGGCTTGTTCTTATTTTGCTTGCCCAGCAAGCATCGATCAATATGTATATTGCTGCTTCTCTGTGTTTAGTAGAATCTGCAATTTTAAATGCAATTTTGCACAAGTAGCTGGCACCCCTGCATTAAGTAATGCACAAACACTGCAAACATTTTGGATTGTATTAATTCAATGCGATATACCTAATAGAAAAGAGTTCTATTCCAATTAAATGCTTCTGATGGAAGTTGTAGGAGGGGCAAAATTAAAAATAAAATCTTATTTTTCAGCAAATGATATGTTTAGGTTCTCATGCATAGTCTTCAAAGGTTCTTTATGTTGCATGGTAACATACTTTAAAATGTGAAATGTTGAATAAAGCATGTGCAAAGCATTGCAGACTTTGTTAAATGTGATAAACGGAAAATGTCTAAAGCTGAGATATCTTCCAATTGCAATGAACCCAAAGATTTCTCAGACTTAGAAAATTTGCCATTATTGTACAGATCATGTTTAACCCTGTGGGTGGCGGGTTAGCTCACACTAACAGGATTAAACAAACTGTGATTGTGAATTACATGACTCAGAACTGTCCTCTACCTCACAAGTAATTAACAGGTGTTTTTATATGGTTCAAAAACAAAATGCATATATCTGGTCAATCAGTTTACAAAACGTGGAATAATATAGACTATATACATAAAAATATAATATATATATGTATATTGCAACATTACATACTGTGCTTTCAGCTTATACCTCAAAATGTATTTTTGTGCCATTCTCCATTGTCATTTCCTTGTAAATATTAAATTCCAATGGATTATTCAAACCTTAATAAAATTATAATGTGGTGACTTTCATTTCTTCAAGGTTTTTGTTTTCTTTTTGTGTGCTGGATATGGTCAGTGGTGTTGGTAAAAGAGTTAGTTAATAAGGAAAATACATTCCTATTTACTATAATTGTCTTTTCTTCCAAGCATCCAGATTTCAGTGGAAAATATACTCATACTTACTATAATTGTATTTTAACCCTCACCTCCCCCCCAAGCAATCTTAAAATAGGCCTGACCTGAGTGCCCAAGTTGTCCAAATAGCACTCAGATCCATGCAGTGTAGGGGGAAACACCACCGTGTTAAAGTTCTGACCGACCGCACACGTGGTCCTATGTCCAAAATAATTCCAGGGCATTTGGTGCTTTTACTGGTCAACTTGTGGGAGCTCCTGCGGCTGCAATATGGGGTGTTCCCCTTAGTCTCAGGAACCTTCCCTCCAAAAAGCGCTCTCCTGGCAAAACCAGAGGTTCAAAACCGCGAACCAAGTTGTCCGGGAACCGCATGGTCACCTCATGCCAAAAACAGTTCCATAACATTCGCGACTAAGTCCTGCTGAGGTGACCGGGAACCCACGAAAGCCTCATGACGAAATTAGTTCCATAGCGTCATGGCTAAGTACCGCTGATGAGTATTTGTAAGTTTGGTTCATGCAAACGTCCGTCAGAGAGCTAGCTTTCGGTTCCATTCACATGAAGGGAAAGTGACGAATCAGGGGCACCCAGGGAAAGTTACTAATGGCGGCTGGGCAGGGTAACTCCCAAACGGTGTCCCAGCCCTGGCCCATAGTTGGTGGGCAGGAGGCCGACTTTCACACTCCTTCAGGAGTCCATGACAAACGTAGGTGGGAAGGAGCATTTGTCACAAATACCACTTTTATACGTGAAACACCTTACTAGCTTTTGCAATTGAAGAACAGTATTGCATTCTGTTGCCTAGTTTGTGATCTATAATTGTTCCCAAATCCTTTTCATTTAATATTATCCTTAACTGAACTCCATTTAATGTATAGGTGGCTTATGGGTTCATTATTCCAAAATGCATGACTTTGCTGCTATCTCTATTAAATCTCATTTGCCACTTGCCTGCCCAATCCCCCAATTTATCCAAATCCCTCTGTAGAGAAATGATATGTTCAGACTGTGTTATTTTACCTAGTTTTGTATAATCTGCAAACACTGACATTCTTTCAATGCTCACTTCAAGATCAATTTATAAACCGATTAAAGAGAAGTGGACCCAGGACCGAATTTTGAAGCACTCCCCGTATCACTTAGGAAATATTCCATTTACAATTACTCTTTACATTCTATCTTTAACCCAGTGTTCTATCCAAAAACACATTTTTTTCATCTAAACCAACTGATTTCAGTTTTATTAGTAACCTGTTGTGTTGAACTGTATCAAATGCCTTACCAAAATCCAAGCAGATCACATCCACTTGATCACCCTGATCTATAGTTCTACTAACTTCTATTGAATGCAATTAAGTTAGTCTGACATGACCCATCTTTCATAAAACCATGTTGATTCCGGCTACTGATATTTTTGTTCAAAATGAATTCTTGAATATTATCCCTTAACAGCCCTTTAAAATTTTTCCTAACCACAGATGCTAAGATCACAGGTCTGGGTCTGTAGTTTCTGGGTTGAGCTTTTTAAATTATTTTTCAATATAGGTACCACATCTGCTTTTCTCCAATCCTCTGGTACGATTACGACATAGTAGGATATAGTTTCCACAGACATCTACACATTGTTAATACTTTGTATTCACTACACAACAGAGGAAACTGTAGAAATATTTGCAAGGTTATTTCAGGGAATTTTTGGTGAATTCCACAATTTATTCCAAAATAGCTAATCTGGAAACATTTTCCCTGTCAGTTATGCTTCCACTTGTGCTACATTGTCGTTCTGCTTTGATTATTAGTTTAGTACATATCCCTGTCAATATTACAACTATAAATCATAATCCATTTTCAATTCATTATAAATCTGTGGGAAAAATGTAGCAGCAATATGCAGAAACAGAATTTCAGATGAATTTTTTTTTTTAATTAAATTCCCAACAATTAATTATTTAGTACATAAACCTGTTTGTGACCTAACAAAATAGTGCTCTGCATGTGTCCAAAAGAAAGCTTTTTACTGTATGATCTATATTTAGGTTTATGACAGACTGCCAGTGTTCCACGGTGTAAAGCAGCGGTGGCAAAAAGGTAGAGAACTACACTATTAATTAAAGGACACTATAAGCACCCAGGCCACTTCATCTTCTAGAAGTCATCTAGGTGGAATTTCTCTGCAATGTAAAACATTGTAGTTTTGGAGAAACTGCAATGTTTACACCAGAGGGTTCAGTCTGCCTCTTGTGGCTGTCTACCAGTCAGTCACTAGAGGCACCTTCTGGAGTTTCATGGAGCGTGACCCAGGTAAGTGCCAATGCGTGCGGGGGGGCCTGCGAGGGAGGGGGTGTGCTGAGGGAACTATAGTGTTACAAACCGTTTTGTATTTCCAACACACTGACAACCATTATTATTGACAATAATGCAAGGAAAATAAGTTTGTATTCCTGGACTGTAGTTTCCCTATTAGTGATCTTGAGGCATAGATGCTGCCTGTGGAGCCTTGACAAACCAAACTATGTGTCAGAAATGTCACTGTTTACATTGTACAATCCCTAATAGTGGCTGTTAGACAGACAGTCACTAGAGGAGTCTGACATCTGATGCAAGAAGATTATTTTATTATTAGAGTCAGTGACTTCACTGGAGGAGGATAAAGCTGCAGTGAGGAGAGCACAGGACATTTTATTCTATAAGTGCTCAATAATCCAAAGGTAAATAGAAACACTTAGTGTTCTTTTAACGTGACAAGGTATACGTTGAAATAAAATAAAATTACTAGAAATTCCCTCTATACCTTGTGCTGGCAGAATTCCACGAAAATGTATTTATTATATAAAAATATGATCCCTTCTCTCACGTTTCTATCAGCTGTAGACATGAAGGGCAAAGCCACTATGTTGGCACTTTGAGTGCAAGAAGAGAGAAGGAGAACCTTCCTACTGGAGGTTCTCCTTCTCATTGTCACAACTCCAGCTCATGTGTTGGTGGTTGCTGAGATATTCCTCTGGCAAGCATGTTTTCTGATTAACAGAAGAATATATATGCTGGGGGGCAAAGCCGGTGGTGGATAACACTGTTATAAAACCACAAATCTCGGATCAGGGCAGCACTGGTGAAGAGGAATTTTGATGTTTCAAAAAATTGTATATCCATAATCACCGTGATAATATGTCAACTGCAGAAAGTGACTTTTAGGCAAGACATTAAATTAAAAGAAATTAAAAGAAACTATTGTTTATGAAATAATTTTAAAACATATATAATATGGTTTGTGTGTATATAAGCTCATGCTGCCACCTTGTGATCGAAGCATGTATGCAAATGCTAATGTTGCTTTTCCCTGCAGGGTCCCCCTTTTGTTCCAAGAAGACTTGTATCTTTTTGAGGGCTAACAACACACAAATAATAGTACTACAACATCCGAGTATACGTTATTGTCACCCTGGAATGGTCAGGGAAAACCTCTCTTGCTCAAATAAAGGGACATCATGATATTAATGCCCCTTACTGCTAAGGGATCTGGTATATTTCACAATAAGGGGACGTGAGAAACACTGTTCGGAGTGTAACATATATATAATGGGGGCCATAAAAAATTTCTCCTACTCTGTGTAGACTATTCGTGGTTGTGTTCTAGGATTTTGTTTGTAGTTAAAATATTTATAGAAATGTTTTCAATAGGAAAAAAAAACAGAAAACAATTCAAATGTGTCTTATAGAGATGCTCATTTCCTTGTAAAATAAATAGCAAGAAGGATAATATCTAGTGTTCTGGATGTTTAACCCCTCACCCCACTTAATGGGTGATGGCAGTTGATGACTACTGGTCAAGCCCCTTAAATAATTTCTTGTTACCTGTCCCAAAGCCCACTGCATGTGGTGGGCACTTAGTGGACTGGAAAGTTATGAGGGTTGAATATTCTGGGGGCTGCTATTGAATGGGCAAACTTCTACTGAATCTATTTGAAAACCAAGTTGCACAATTTTAGGTCAAACTAACTTATTTAGAAAAATTCTTTAACTTTGCTTTAGTGAATTCACAGCTTGGTTATTTTAGTCACAATGTTGCAATTTGGATATCAAATGCAGTACTGTTGGCATATCTCCAACAATGGAATGCACCTCCTGGTGCTAAAAGATGGGTAGATCTGGAACACAATATCCTTGGTTGGAACCTGCCTTCATCATACATGTGGGTCCCACCCGCCCATAGACCACTACCGCCTCCCACCTCACCGGCAATCACGAATACACTCGCTCTGTGGGACAAACTTAACCTCAAATACGACCTGTCCTTCTTCCTTTCTCCAGTCACACCCATATACCGGCATGACATCAAAACATTTTCTCATCTTCGACCAACTGGACTTCTCCAGACTGATAACACCTATATTACCAAGGAGAGGTTTTCATGTACACTGATTTACCAAACCCAGGAGACCTACGCTCGTCAGACCACTTCTAATACCTGCAACTCAGAGATCTGGTTAACACCCACCATAATCAAACAAGCAGGAACAGCACTGCCAACAGCATTCGAACGACAAAGCTTCGACGTCCCAATGCAATCCGGTCAGGTCTCTGCTATTTTTTTTTAGGGGGGGGGGGAATTGATTTTCTTTTATTATTTAATGTATTTTTATTTTCCATATAGCAAAGATCGACACAACTGATATAAAAATATAAGGTTCCATAGATAATTTTCACAACATTTTGTACACAGATTTCTGCACCCCCCCCCCAAAAACAAAAAATGTACGTGTGCAAATGAAATGTTTGATATGCAAAAATCCAGTTGTATCAGACAATATTTCCTTTTTATATATCTTGGGCTCTCTTAGTCAAAGAATATTCTACTCTTGAATCAAAAAGGGCACAAGACATTAAAGTTCCGACGGCATCAAGTGTAAAAAAAAAATTAAACATAAAACAAATATAACTTATAACAGGCAAAAAGGGAAACAACCATTGGAGGGAGAGATGTAGTGATCTTGCCTCTCCTTCCTTCTAAAAGGATGGGGAAAAGGGTCGCGTATCTATGTAAAATGGGACTGTACTATAACGATTTACTTAAGTACTTATCCCAGGGTTTTATAAAATGTATAGAGTTTAACCCTGAGGTATATAGGTACAGTATTCAAACCATACAGACCAAATTCTTATATATTTCTCAATATTCTGTTATTTAAAAAAGTTTTTTTCCTATTTTTCCTGATAGTTTGAGTTTTAATTTCTGTCATGCTAGGAATTTCTTCTTTTGTCCAATACCTAGAGATAGAGTTTTGTAGCCATCAAAATATGGGTTATCAAGCAAGAGTAGACCTAGATATCTCTGGAAAATGAAGATGAAAAAGAAAATTCTCAGAAGTTAGATCAGGGATGTTAAATTTGCATACTGATGAAACAAGTTGCACAATATACATGAAGTAGCAAAAGAAAAGGTAACCAGATACAATACGTGTACATAAACATAAGCACTTTAAAAAAAATTTTTTTAAGAAAAGTGTTTAGCAAGATGGAGATAGTGCAGGTTATAATATGTTTAGGTGTAAGATGTGTCATTGGTACTACAAGATTAGGTAGGTAATAGTTGTACGGGTAAATAGAATAAAAAAAGTAGGCTATCTTGAGTACTTTAGGCGTAAGACATAGTATTAGGATTGTTACATAGCTGAAAAGAGACTTGCGTCCATCAAGTTCAGCCTTCCTCAAATATGTTTTTGCTGTTGATCCAAAAGAAGGCAAAAAACCTAGTTGGAAGCGCTTCCAATTTTGCAACAAACTAGGAAAAAAATTCCTTCTTGACCCCAAAATAGCAGTCAGATCTCTCCTTGGATCAAGCAGCTATTACCCCACTAATTTGAAATTATATCCCTGTATGTTATGTTTTAGGAAGTATTTATCCAACTGCAGTTTAAACATCTGTATGGACTCTGATAAAACCACCTCTTCAGACAGAAAATTCCATATCCTTATTGCTCTTACTGTAAAAAAAACACCTTTTCTTTGCCTTAGATGAAATCTCCTTTCTTCCAGCCTAAATGTGTGACCTCATGTCCTATGTATAGCCCTGTTTATGAACAGATTTCCAGATAATGGTTTGTACTGGCCCCGAATATATTTGTATAATGTTATCATATCCCCTTTGAGACACCGTTTGTCCAAACTAATGAGATTTAAATTTTTTAACCTTTCTTCATAACTAAAATGCTCAATTCATTTATCAATTTTGTAGCTCGTCTCTGCACTTTTATTATTTTATTCTTCTTCTTCTTATTCTTTAGAACAGGTGTCCAAATTGCATAGCATATTCAAGGTGTGGTCTTACCAGTGATTTATAAAGAGGCAAAATTATATTTTCATCTCAAGAATTTATGCCCCTATTTATACATGACAAAACCTTACTTGCCTTAGCAACTGCTGATTAACATTGCATATTGCTTCCTAATTTGTTGTCTATAAAAAATTCCCAAATCCTTCTCATGTGTGGTTATCCCTAATTCACTACCATTTAGGGTGTAAGTTGCTTGTGCATTCTTGACCCCGAAGTGCCTAACTTTGCATTTCTCTACATTAAATTACATCTGCTATTTTAGTGCCCAGTCCCCCAACCTATTCAAATTCTCCTGCTCACATTTTATTACTTTACAAAGTTTTGTGTCATCTGCAAACACTCAAACATGGCTTTCAATGCCTATTTCAAGATCATTTATAAATATGTTAAATAGAAGTGGTCCCAAAACAGAACCCTGAGGGACACCACTTACCACTTTTGTCCAGCCTGAAAATTTACCATTAATGACAACTCATTGTACTCTATCCTTAAGCCAATGTTCTACCCAAGAACAAGAATATTCATGTGTGCCAATCATCCCGCCAGCTTGAACCTCTCAGTTGCGGGCCCATGCTTTGAAGGCATGGCATTTTTGACTAGTGCCCAGCTTTTGCAAGGGTGAGATGGGCTGGAAGTGAGTGTTTTGACATATTGCAATGTATTAAGGATAGGTGCTGGAGTATCATAGTGCCCAGTTATGCCTTCGTGGGCTGGGCAATTGATATTGGTGGGGGTAGCCAGTACCTAGAGGTTTTGGTGATCTAAATTAATAGTTAATTAAAAGAAAAGGTAACTCAAAGGTGTTGCTTCTTAAACTGTTGGCTTTGGTAATGTTCTATCATGTGTGGGCATTGGGTCTCTATAGCTTGCCTCTTGGCAAGGGGGGGATTTGCATAGCCTGGTTTGGATTTGACCAGAGGGTGTGTGGTCTATCAAGCTCCAGAGGCTAGCGGGTCACTTCGGGCTTCCGTGTAGGCCCTAACCCACCCATCTGGGGAGCTATGTGACTTGACGCTTGATCCCGTGCCGCCTTGTTACCTGCTTTAAGGTAGGGCTGGAGGGTGTTTGGAGTGTTAGGGGCAAGGAGGGTGGCAGCTCAATTAAGCAACCTATGCTAGGGCCAGTGGAAGCTTTTTGAAAGGGGAAGTGGTAAGGGAGGGTAGAGGCTACGATATTAATAGTAATTCTAAGCAAAACAGAAACAGAAACATAAAGTCACTCATAGTGATGTAGAACTGGTATCATGGGGAAACAATGGAATAGTCTGATTTTTTTATTGTATATTAATTTTATAGTTTGAAAAGGTGCCTGTTATTTACCACACCTTAACGACCCACGCCTCCCAAATGAACCTCACATATATACCGGCATGGGAAAGCCACCAAGGTCCAGCGGATGACCCGAGCAACTAATCAGATATCTGGGAAGAGATAATCTCCCTTACAGTATGCGTCACTCACAAGGAACCTGCATACAGTACCTGACGATACCTACTTCAGAAAACGGGATGACTCTCCAACAACCTTTTTTGGAAAATGTGTAGGGAAACAGGCTCCTGCCTACACTGTTGGTGGAACTGCCCCAAACTCAAGCCCTTCTGGGCAGAAGTCCATTTATTACTAAAGCAAGTCATCACGAAACCCGTACCCAGGGACCCCTGGATGATGTTACTCTCCAAACTGTCCAACGCTCTCACCAGGTGCGAAAATAAACTCACTGCACTTATTAACCTAGCAGCGCGATGAGCAATTGCAGAACTCTGGGCCGACCAACATATACCCATGATGGCAACAGTCACACGCAAAATAAATGAGACACGAGATCTCGACAAGCTTACCGCATAAATCCACGACTCCTACAAAACGTTTAAAAAAATATGGGACCTCTGGGATGCAAACGGAGCAAGTGCGTACTAGAGAACTCGCCCCAAATCATTATACAATACTGGACCAAGTCCCCCCCCCACATCCCCTTCCTTTAGGTTGTTTTTTCTTCTCTCTCTCTCTCTCTCTCTCACCCTTCCTCATCACTCACCTCATCATCAGCCCCACCCATATCCACACCTCTACCCTCCTCCAACATCCCCCCTGCACCCAGACCAGCGGGCGGAACACCAACGCACTAGGATGGAACCCGACCACTATTCTCTCCCTCTCCTCTACAACTCTATGGATGATGGCAAATGGAGTAAATATCCCCCTTGGAAACCATGCTTCCATAACTAATTATGCCTCAGAGTCACCACACACCCAAAAACTCTTGGGAATCCAGTACACCCTTGTATTAGAAGGAACAGTGTAGATGGGGAACCACAGATGCTAGATACCTACAAACCCCCATGGCACGCAAACCCTCTGCACACAAGACCCCAATTAAGGGTCCCAAAAAAACCTCCCCGGCCGCCGGTAGATACTATACCAGTGATGGCGAACCTTTTTGAGCCCGAGTGCCCAAACCGTAATACATGCCAATTTTTTTCCCCTCAAAGTGCCAAAACGGCAATTAAACCTGAATACTGAGGTTTATGTTTAGAAAAAACAACTCATACAGTTGTCCGAACTAATTAACATCTCTGTGTGTGTATTAAGCAGTTTGTGTGTGTGCTCAGCAGTCTGTCTGTGTGTATTTAGCAGTCTGTCTGTGTGTATTTAGCAGTCTGTCTGTATTTAGCAGACTGCTGAATACACACACAGACTGCTGAGTACACAGTCTGCTGAATACACACACAGACTGCTAAATAAACACACACATACAGACTGCTAAATACACACACACAGACTGCTGAGTACACACACACACACACACAGACTGCTGAGTACACACACACACACACACACAGACTGCTGAGTGTACACACACACAGACTGCTGAGTGTACACACACACAGACTGCTGAGTGTACACACACACACACAGACTGCTGAGTGTACACACACACAGACTGCTGAGTGTACACACACACAGACTGCTGAGTGTACACACACACAGACTGCTGAGTGTACACACACTGCATTGAGGGGTACAGTGTATGTGTTTGTGGGTGGGTGATGTGTGTGGGTGGGGTGTTTGTGTGTGGGGTGGTGTGTTTGTGTGTGGGGGGGGTGGTGTGTGTGTGTGTCTTTTTGTGGGGTGATATGTGTAGGGCAGGGGTGCTGTGTGTATGTCGTCCCCCCTCTCCCCCCCTGTTTTCTTTCCCCCCATCCCTCCCTCATTTTTTTTCTCCCATCCCACACTCAGTTTTCTCCCCATCTCTCCCTCAGTCTCC